TCTTGGGTAGACTTCTTGGATGGTTTAACCGGCTTACGTCCTTTCTTTGCCTTCATTTCCTGATACTTTTCGTAGCCGTCCATCAACTTTTTCCAAGCCGATCCTTTCTTCCATTGTTCTTCGGATTGAACAAGCTGGTTCAATAGAGTGTTCGCAATGCTCTCACAAGCAGATCGGTCGTAGTTGAACAATATAGCTGGTAGGGCACGACGCTTGTGCAATTGATATAATAGTGGCAGGGTTGTGGCTTGTAGATCCAACGGATCAAGGGGCTCAGTCACAGAATCAGAGGTGCTGTCGATTGGAATATCGTTCTTGGTCTCAACATTTTCTGGAGTCAGCTCCTTTACCACATTGGCAAATTGTGATTGACACTCTGCCATCCATTGAAGCAATACTTTCTTAAGATTCTTTTCCCATGCAAAAATATCTGCTTTTCGAATGCAGGATGGCAATGCCTTTTCAGGATTTAATGACTCAGGGACGCTGTACTCCTTGCTTTGATGTTTGACCATGGCTTTCCATAGCGATAAGCAATCTCTAGGTTCAAGTGCAAGATCTTCAGGCATTCCTCTTGAAGGATCAACCAAACTAGACACAGGGTGAAAGGATTCGAAGCCTTGTAGACCATCCAGACCTAAACCTAGACCGAATGAGTCTCCGAGACCTTCGAAGTCGAATTTCTTAGGTGGCTCGTACATGAACTTTCGTAAATCGGAGTATCTGGTTGAGTGTTTGATCATCTTTAACTCGGATCCATTTGCCTTTTGAGTTTCTCCTAGCCAATCGGCAAACTGCTCAGGATTACCCACAGTTGCAGAAAGAGCAATGATTGGACATGGCGATAATAACAAGAGTTGCTCCCATACCACACCATCTTCAGACTGTCCAATAGAATGAATTTCATCGAAAATAATACGCTTCACTCTTGGAGCCCACGACTTCGCATTCGTTGGTGATAGAAGCATAATCTGAAGAATATGGGGTACAGTGACGAGAATTTGACAACCTGTAGAATTGTTCACACGGTAATCTCTGGTGTGAATAGCCCACACTCCTTTACCGGCTTGAGGGAATCTCTTGGAGAATCGACCTAGAACATAGCATTGTTAGTGGTTACTTTCGTTAAAAAAGATTGGAAGGAAGAAATTCTCTTGGTCTATATCTTTGGTTTAAGATAAGGAAAAGTTTACTTCCCAATCTTACAAAGATGAGAGAGAGAGAGAGAGAGAGAGAGAGAGAGAGAGAGAGAGAGAGAGAGAGAGAGAGGGAGAGAAAGGAGAACAAATGCGATAGTGCTTACCCTGAACTTCAGCTGCAATCTGATTGACAAGTGCCTTTGTTGGTGCAACATAAACCAAAACTCCATCGTTATCAGCTCTTAGAATTTGTTCCATGGCGTAGAAACTGATGAACGTTTTACCAGCAGAAGTTGGTGCTACTACGAATACACTCTTATTGGCATCTAACTGATCGAGCACATCTCTCTGCCAACCATCAGGAACGAAGCTAGAAACACGGGGATCTGGCTTTGCATCAAGCATTCTGTCCATGTAAGGACCGCAATGTTCCAGCTGAAATTCTGATTGAGAGATATCAATTTTCAAGGACAAAGTTGGAGGAGGATACTTGAAGGCAAAAGATAGCTTTCGATCAGCACCAAGGACTTTCGGTGATGAGAAAGCGTCCGAAATACCAACCAATTTGCATGTCTTTTCGACATGCTGAATGATCTCTTTTGTGATAGGTGCATTGGTAGTGCATATAGATCTTACAGTAGTCCAAATCAATGCGACTACGTGGTAGCCATCAATTTTCTTGTTCTGCTTACAGTATCCTGCCCACCAAGACAGTAGACATTGGAGGATAAAAGTGTTGATATCTCCTTCAAGAATTTTTGTTCTGGCATTATCAAGATTGTTAAGATATTGTTTGGCCCGCAGATAGCGATTTTCATCGTTAGAGGTCAAATCAAGATCTTTCATAATCATAGACCACGCAAGGAAAGCTTTATCAGTCTCTGTATCTCCTTTCTTTTCCAGATTTGCAGCACGGATCTGATCAGCAGCTGAAAGCCCACCACCTTTTTTAGTACCTTTCTTAGCATTGGCTGCAGGTTTTTTGTTCTAGAGATTATTGTTAGCTTCATTCGATCGACCAAGCGTAAAAGAATCATACATCAATTGGAGCTTCTTTCTTTGACTTAGGCGCTGGCTTTTCGACTTTACTCGTCTTTGATGATTTCTCCTCAGCAACTTTGACCAGTTGCTTGGGTCCTACCACGATTGTCTCCGGTTCGAGTGCTTTTCCCTTTGCTCCTGTTAAACTCGCGGCGTATGAGGTCATTTCACTCATATAGAACTGATTTGTTCGAAGGGGATTACTATAGACTAATTAATACCCACTTTGCTGCAATTGAGGTATCTAGAGATTAAGCTTGAATTAGTGTTACTTACCGCCATTTGGACACTTTCTGTGCCACGGGAGCTTTTGTAATAAGAGGCTTTTTGTGATTATGCCAATGACTTGTTTCTCTGTAAAGCTTCATGGTACCAAACTGTGCAGACAGAGATGAATCTGTTTTAACATGGATACAATCCAAATGCTTGTTGAAGACAGCATTAGTGAAGGGTAAAACTGAAAGATCATCCGAACTTGAGTCGGGATCTTCGCACGGGGTAATTTTGACTGAGGATAAATCAATGCTTTTGTCCAAAGAAAGTTCTTGACTTGAAAGCTCCTTGGTCAAATTGCAAAGCACGAGCCATTCATCTTGAATTGACTGAGGAAAGGGGTCTAATGATTCGTCGCACATAGCTTGAATGACGACACGAAATAATCGGCCATCGACAAGATCATGACAATCTCTTGTGATTTCATTAGTTTCAACAAAGTTGCTCCATGTCGGATTGTTTAGAATAACCTGAGCAACGTCTGCAGATAAGGACAAGAAACTAGTAATTTCTTCTTCGAAGTCATTGTCGAATTCAACAGATGGAAATCGACGCTTGGAAAGAGGGATCTGATTAAGCATAACACTGTGTAAAATGAGGGCAGAAGCAAAAAATATGTCAGACGTGTTTTCTTTCAGAATATGAGAAGCAGAAAGAACAGAAACGCATGATCTTTCACTCAAGCGAATCTTTGCCGACGCAGCAGACAATTTTTGGGTGATTTCGTCGTCAATGGACGGCACTCCACTAGAATTATCGGATTGTGAATCTTTGGCAAACTCCACACGAGCTTCTTCAATATCCTTGGTAAACTTAGAGCTAATAAGCAACTTGCGTTGGCTTGAGACAGTCATGCTCTCCACGATCATGGTGAAAACCTTTGAATCTCTGAACTCTATGCGATTAATGAGAGCAATATTGAGCTTGTGGGAATTAAAAAACCATATCAACCCTCGAAGAATGGTCTTCTCTTCTTTCGATGAGCGAGGTTGCTTTGCCGTTGCAGCCCCGTCGTGCGACATGACAAAGTGTATTGGTGTAGCATGAAGATAAATGGAGAACTCTTTACTCTCTAAGGAAGGGAAAGTATTGACCACAATCTCTGGATGTGATGATGGTAATTTGTGGTGTAAATGTTGTCGAATCGCTGTTCGAGCAAGGAGATACCGAGCTCGATGTGTGGATTTCACTCCTGGTGGTACACATAATTGCCGATTCTCTACCATTCAAGTTAGAATTATCAATCGGCCCCAAGAATAATGAAGGCTTTGAATTTTCGAATGAGATTCAAAAGAGCAAGAGCATAGCTTTGGAAGGGAAACACATACCCTCGAAGAAAGCAATGTGGAAGTTGCAATGTCTCTTGACCAAATTCTCAAGGAATCGCTCCACTACGTATACGGCATGAAGTAATTGAAATCCATCTGAAAGATATTGTTAGCTCATAGTCCTTTTTGTGAATAACGTGATTGCTAGGAATCCTTGTGTCGCTTTGATGTCGTCTTCATAATGGCATGAGACTTCCATCCTTGGTCTGCGATGTTGCACATCTTTTGTACTCAAAGCACGCATTCCAAGCACTTGGTAAAATCCCCGATATGAAATTCTCCGAAGAGAATCAACACCTGGGGAATCAAAGAGCAGCACATCAATAGAAACATAAAATCATTACCTTGAAAATCAATCCTTTCATCTGCGAAACATTCTCTTAAAAGGGAGTCTCCCTCAAGAAGAAATAACTCTTTTCCAGCATAATCTCCTACAAGGTCAATCCACATAGGACGAGTCTCATCGTACCAACTCAAAATAGAATTTGGAAGTTGAGTTGTCCCGTGCACTTCCACCGCAACCCCATCGGAAGTCGCCATATGTAATTGTGGCTTTGTCGTTGTGACCGTTTCTGACTATCAAGATCTGTGTTCTCTGCAATAATTTCTGATATTTATGGATGGAGGTAGAATATTTGGTTAATGTTATGATCTGTGAAGCTGTTGAAGAGCGAAAATTTTGAGGCCGTGTTTGCCTTTGCTTGCCTGAAATGGTAGTATTGTTTCCTAGTTTGCATGTGCTGGATTCAACTCGCTTGTGCCTTCCGTATTCTCTAAGTTCAAGGTCACGTGAAAGTGACGTCGCTACATGTCTGAGCTGATACTCGAAAATATGTTCGTAATTGACTGACATTTATTGGTATCAAGCCTTTAATTTTTTTATAGAGAAGCTTGGTCAATTGACTTCTATTCATTGACCATGGAAGCTATGTTGCTTTAATCACGTTACTTGATTCCACATTATTCTACATCTTCGGGTAATATTCGGCCCGTTGACATGAAGTCTTGCCTGCTTACCTTGTCACTGTTTGGTTGGGATCGGAAAACGATGAGCGACTCTCATTGTATTTAGCGGGTGTATAACCAGTTTTTAGACTGAGTTATCTGTAGGGTGCTCTGTGAGTATCCATACTTCTAAACTTCAGATTCTCGTTCGATAAATGTCTATGCTTACCAGTCGCCTTTCAAGATCTCATCTGTTAGATCAGAGAAAAACATGATGCGTGGCAGCCGCAACCAACAGGGGGAAGAAGATGTGCAAACTCCTTTTTTGCAGATTTCTGGGACGCAGGACCCTCCATCGTTTTCTGTTCGAAGATTGAGATTCAAGTGGTTGGTCTGGGGTCTGGTTGGTTTTCTGGAACTCACTTTCGAAACTGGTGTGGCGATGCGAACGACTCCTTTAATCGCATCTTATAAAGAACAATTATGCACCAAGGCATCTCAGGATGTAGACAAACCCATAATAAGTTGCCAAAAAGATCATGCAATTGCAAGTGAGCTGGCGCTGATCATAGGCGTCTTCCAACTTTTGGAATGCCTACCCATGCTACTTTTGTCTGGTGTCTACGGCAGCATTGCAGATAAGTACGGCCGGCGATCGATTCTGTTTCTGGGATATCTGGGTTTGGTACTGAGTTCAATGTGGACTACTGGTGTGGTTTGGCTTGTTCCTAGGGTTCCATTAAAATTCGTTTGGATAGGTCCCGTATTCACCTTGATTGGAGGCGGGGCAAGTGTGCCCCTTGCTATTCTCATGACGAGTGCCGCAGCCGTCGCACCATCAACTCAAAGAGTCTCAGTCTTTTCTTTTATACACGGCACAGCTTTGGTAGCAGCAATCCTGGGGTTTGGACTGAGTTCGGCAACGATGAAATCTTTGGGGAACTATGCCGCACAATTGGTTGGTCTCGGATTGATGTCCTCAGCTTTATGCTTAAGCCTCCTTCTTCCAACGGGGGAAGTAGCTCAGTCGTCAGCATCTAGACCGGAGATTGATTCTGCTTCAGAATATACCAACATCTCAGGCTCCAGAACGCAGCCTATTAACAGCAGGCATGCGGTGATTAGATCATTTCATAATCTCTTGCAGATCAGAGGTGCCATCCCGTTGTTAATTGCTGGGTTCTTCGCTACACTTGGTCAAAGGGTTCAGATTTTACTCCTCCAATATATGCCAGAGCATTTCAGTATTAGTTTCTCGGAGGTGAATCATCTCATATCTCTCCATAGCCCCAAGTGCTGACATGTTTCGCCTTTAGGCCAATACATTTATCATTCTTGATCACGTAGCGAATTTACTCGTGCTTTTCATAGGCTTGCCATTGGGAAATGCCCTAATTTTGCGTTGGAGGAGCTTCAACTCGTGCTACAAAGACATAGCACTTGCTCTTTGTAGCAGCGCTCTATCTCTTGTTGGGGCATTGATATTAAGTTTCGCTCCAAATGTTACAGTGGCTCTCTTCGGTGATTATAACATACTTTACTACTCTTATTGAGAGTGACTGATCTGTAATAGGCATCATTGTTTTTGGCACCGGAATTGGCCTCAGCAGTCTTTTGCGATCTATCTTCGTGGGGCTCTTCCCACCAGAGCGTGCAGCTTTTGCTACGACATTGATATCTACTATAAAGACCGTGGGCGGTACCTTCTCTGGACCTGTATACTCTTACGCCTTTGCATTGAGCTTAGACTTAGACAGAATGCTGCAGGGGTTGCCATTTATAGTGTCTGCGGCTTCTTTTGTGATCGTCGCAAGCGTGCTGATTACAATGGTCAAAAAACCGCGAGTAAGAAGAGACATATCGTGAAGTGTTACGCTGTGATTTGCCTACTAATGTTGAAGAATTTATCGTTGTAGAATTTGATGCCTACAATATGTTCAGTCATTTTATTTTCGTTTTCATTTCTTCGCATATATGTTGTTATGTTGTTGCGAAGCTTTTCAGTATGTTTCATACACTTCCCTCGATGCGAATGTCCTACGTTCGTTATTATAACATGAAGCATACACTCAAACAGATTATGATTTTACGTCTCTAGTTTGGCCATTCTATCTTTCTCGTGGCTGGCAAAATACCTTCAAACAATCAGTCTGGTTTATCACATGTTCCTGGAGATGGGACAAGCTGTTGCGCAATACTCACGAGCACCACGACGCCGAAGCAAACCATTTCTTGAACCATCCCGACCAGCTTTGAGAGCACTTGTAGCTCTTGATCTTTCCGTTTTCTTAGCATCTAATTCTACGTGAATAGAAAAACCGCAGCGCTGATAGGTATTCATATAAGATTCTAGACAGTCACTAATTGAGGCTTTTACCTGTAGATATTTCATTGTTTGATGTACAAATTGTCCAAATTCAAAGAGCAGGGAGCTTGTCGAAGTGAAATCTTATGGCAATATGTTCCAACGTACTGGTAACCAATCGTATTGTAGACGCTTTCCCCGATCTCCGTTTTTTGAAATCTACTACATGATCATCTATTGGTTCGAATTTGGATTTTGAAGGTGAAGTGCATAGAAAAGCAAGGCACCTACACTCCGGCCACCTACCTGATTAAGCAAGTAGAATTCTTATGTGTAGAACGCTCTTAAGCGCGAGATAACGTATGGCCAAAGATAAGAATGTTATGCGGGCATAAGGCACAGCATTTCAAGGTACCATTTCGGATTGAGCTTGAAGTAGATGTTCTATCTGCATGCTAACTACGTTAAATATGTTCTCTGACATCTCAATAATTTTATAAAATGCTCACAAGAATTATCTTATTCGCATCATCAATTGGGCAGATACATCAAAAATGGATAAATTACGAAGTGTTTTCTACTATCAACCGGTACACTCAAACGGTACTTCTGAAAGTTGGGAGGGGTTAGTGATACTCATAAAATAAAGACTACAATAAACCAGAATTAGAAAATGGAGCATTCCGGCTTACGACTCTAGCATGGAATCGATTTAACAAATTGCGTCATCCATTACAGATTACTACTTTCTTACGTATACGACACGTATGCATTGGAATTCAAAACCATGGAATCGAAACTGCAATCTCAGATCCGACGTCTGTTAAATATTTCAAAGGTATGCTATTCGCAGCTTCGGATTCCGGAATTCGACGAGCCTATTCCTGCTTCGGCTGTATGAACAAGGTTTCGCCACGGGCGGAGGTTTCTCTCCCTTTGACATCTATAATGCCTACCGTGTAGCAGTGTAATTGCGTTATATGCCGTCAAGAGTCGGAGCTTCAAAATGTCAACAGTTGGAATGAAATTACTGTCTATAATCAATCCTACCTCTTTTAGCAGGATCCTGAAGCAACTTTTCTTCTATTAATACCTCATATCAGATTAATTTGCATATTTCTACCTAAATGATAGTCTCTGATTATACTATCGTGATGGATTTGTACAGTAATGAGGGGTGTCAATCCGACGCTGATAACAAGTTTGGTCCAGTGATGGTGGCATGTGCCCGTAGTTTTGACTTTACATTGCTCTTCGAGCAAGCTATACTTTCAGTTGTTCCAAGCACTATCTTTCTACTTCTTTCACCATGGAGAATTTGGTTTCTTCGATTGTCCAGTCAAAAGACGAAATCGAGTTGGATGTCGATTGCAAAACCGATAGCATCCGTGGCATTGATCTCGGGTCAAATAGCACTTCTAGTTTTCTATACTCAGTCAATTACCATTCGAACACGGTTCTCAATACCTACAACTACATTGGATCTTTTGGCTGCTGTAGCTATTGTACCGCTCTCTCATCTTGAACAATATCGTTCTGTGAAGCCATCAACTCTCATCAGCTTGTATCTTGCTTTTTCGGCAGGTCTTGATATTCCTCAAGCTCGCACATTGTATAATGTTCCCGGGCAGCTACACCTTGCAATCGTTTTCTCCTATAGCTTGGCGGCTAGAATCACGTTACTATGCCTTGAAGCATGGGATAAGAGGGTGTTCCTCATGGAACAGTATCAGACATTGGCTACCGAGGCAACTAGTGGTATCTTTAGCAACAGTCTTTTTCTTTGGATGAATGTGCTTTTCAAGCGTGGTTATAACAAGGTAATATCATTTGAAGATCTCGGCCAAATTGACAGCAATCTCGAGTCTGCAGCATTACACCAAAAACTTCAAGACTCATGGAAACAACGAAACCATGAGGCCAAGATGCCTCTGCTGAGAAGTCTATGGAAAGCCCATCGATGGTCAATCTTAATGCCTGTCTTACCTCGCTTATGCTATTCTGGATTTTTGTTTGCGCAGCCATTCCTTATTGAGCGAGCAATCAGTTATTTGAGTCAGCCGAGTGATGTTCTGGAAGAAGATATTGGTTATGGGCTTATTGGGGCGACGGCATGTATCTATCTCGGAATAGCGGTAAGCATGGTAGCCCATTTTCTTCTAATCAGAGTATAACTAACTTATGTTCAGATTTCGAATGCCTTATATCGGCATCATATCTATCGAAATGTAACAATGGTTCGAGGATCGCTCGTCTCATTAATCTACACTAAGAGTTTGTCTATAGAGAACCAGATGGACGATCCATCATCTGCTCTCACACTTATGAGTACCGATGTTGACCGAATTTGCCAGAGTGTAGTCATGCTTCACGATCTTTGGTCTCGGCCTTTAGAGCTGATCCTTGGGATTGTTCTCTTGGCCTTTCAAATAGGCTGGGTTTGTACCATGCCACTGGTCGTGATTTTCGTCAGTGCTATACTCGATTCAAGAGTCACTTTAATGATTGGGGGCAAAGTCAAGATTTGGTCAGATGCCGTCCAACAGCGGATGTCCTTGACAGCTGATATTTTATCCTCAATGAAAAGCGTCAAGATGTTGGGCATGACAAGGCCATTGAGATTTCTACTGCAAAACGAAAGAAAGAAGGAGCTTACATTACAAGCAAAATTTCGGTGGTCCACAGTGTGGCTGAATACTCTAGGTGGGTGTCTATGTTTTATATGATTCTGGTGTTAGGTGTCATACATAACGTATAAAGAAGCTTGAGCATATGGACACAATAAATTAAGCTGGTTTATGCAGAAGTCTTAGACATACTGTCTGTCTTCAATCACATGCCAATCAAAGCCAAGACTATCTGAGGGATAAAAAATTAACATTTGCTCATAGGAAACATGCCTCCAGCCCTCGCTCCTGCAGTCACTTTTATCGTATACGCGATCAAGGCACGCGTGACAAACTCGGGCCCACTCAATATTTCTCAAGTCTTCACAAGTCTTGCGTTGATAAACCTTGCTACAACTCCTGCTTCAGAACTTATAACTTCCTTTCCATTTGCAGCCTCTTGTCTTGGATGTGTAGAAAGAATTCAAGGGCACCTGCGAAGACAAGATCGGCACGAGAAGCGAATCCTGAACCCCAAAAGAAATCTGCTGCAGGAAAACATCAAAGATGGACACGATTTAAGTGTATCTATCGCGTGTTTGTCAGGCATATGTATTTCAGTGAACAATAGTGAGATTCCTCTTTTGCGCGAGCTTGACTTGGTGTCTTCTCAAGGCAGCTTCACTATGATTTTAGGCCCAAGTGGATCCGGAAAATCAACGTTATTAAGAGCGATACTGGGCGAAACAAAGTACAGCGGTACTATCTCCATCAATTCCAGTCGAATAGCATACTGTCCCCAAACCGCATGGCTGTTTGTGGGTACTATTCGGCAGAACATTTGTGGTTTAGAAGTAGACACATTCGATGAAGCTTGGTACAGATCTGTACTTCACGCTTGTGTACTTGACGAAATGATCTTTGGCTTGTCTAATGGTGACAATACTCTCGTTGAAGGGCAAAGCTCTGGTCTCAGTGGTGGTCAAAAACAACGTCTCAATATCGCTCGAGCTTTGTATCACCGACCACAACTGATTCTGTTTGATGATGTTCTCAGTGCCTTGGATATGAAGACTGAGATACAAGTTATGACCAGATTGTTTGGAAGAGATGGTTTAATATCAAAGCTTGGAGCTACAGTTATATTTGTGACTCATTCAACACGCTGGGAAACGATTGCAGACAATGTCATCACGTTAGATGGGTCTGGTAATGCGGCAAAGCACTCCAAGATCCCTGATCTTCAAGCCAAAGTTTTACCCACGGAATTCGATTTGCACCGTTCTGTGGATCTGAACTCGTCAGACAACGTGGATACAGGCCATATATTCGATAGTATTTCTACAGGAGAGAATTTGCAAGCACTTGATTCCAGCAATGGTAGGATTTCAGAAACCCAGGCGCTTAGTGAGGACCATATCGTCGATATTTCTCTACGCGAAAGCGATTCAAGAGATTATGTCTACTATTTCAAGAGTGTTCGATGGCCAACAATATTAATGCTTTTCTTGTCTGCTACCGCACAGACTATATGTCTTTACATGTCTCAAGCAATACTTAATTGGTGGGCAGCGGACCATGGCTCAAATGAAGAAAAATGGCTCCCAACATACCTCATCTTGGCTATTGGGAATGGGGTAATGTACGGGTGTACTGCATGGATCATGTTTCTCAAACTAGTACCAGAATCAGCCGCCAATCTACACCTGATATTGCTCGACGTGGTAATGAATGCGCCTTATTCATTCTTCACGAAAACTGATATCGGAACAATACTCAATCGTTTTAGTCAAGACATGACGCTTATCGAGTCTCAACTACCTACTGGAGTCATGTGTACATTGATGTATTGTTTATGGACAATTGGATCCTTGTGTCTCATATCTCTTGGTTCAGCATGGATGGCCATAACAATTCCAGCAGTAATCATTACACTTATCTGCATTCAACGCGTCTACCTCCGAACATCTAGACGACTTCGAGCTATTGAATTAGAATTGAGAAGTCCAATATATTCTCACTTTATGGAGACTCTGAATGGATTGTCAAGCATCCGAGTTTTGGGATGGCAAGAACAATTCACAGATTCCATGATTGAAAAAGTCGACAAATCTCAAGTTCCTTATTATCTTCTCTACTGTGCTCAGAGATGGCTTCAGCTAGTATTAGATCTAGTAGTCGCCGCTCTAGCCATAATCGTCATAGCACTGGCCATCAAACTACGCAAATCCACCGATCCAGGATCTCTCGGGCTCTCCCTAAACAATGTTCTAAGTTTCAACGAAACCCTAAGTTTTCTCCTCCAATACTGGACACAATTAGAAGTTTCCCTCGGAGCCATATCGCGCACCCGAGGATTCGCACATCGCACTCCCTCAGAGCACAAACCCCTCTCTCTCATTACCCTCCCACAAGACTGGCCCGAACACGGCACCATCGAAATCCGCAACCTAAACGCGAGCTACACCCCCTCCACCCTCGCTCTAAACAACATCACCCTCTCCATCCACGCCGGCGAGAAAGTCGGATTCTGCGGTCGCAGTGGCAGCGGCAAAAGCTCCTTACTATCCTCCCTTCTTCGACTCCTAGAAAGCTCCAGCGGATTCATCACAATCGACGGTATAGATCTCTCCAACATCAACCACCAAACTCTTCGCGAACGACTCCTCACCGTCCCTCAAGATGCATTTCTAATCCAACAGACCATCCGCTATAATCTCGATCCTCTAGCACAATACACCGATCCTCAACTCATCGCCGCTCTTCAAAAAGTCCATCTCTGGTCCCTATTCTCCCCACTCAACGGCCTCAATACAATCGCCTCCTCTAATTTCCTCTCCCAAGGACAGAAACAACTCTTTGGCCTGGCACGCGTGATTCTCGGCGCATCGCGCAGAGAAGTTAAAGGGGGTATTCTACTACTCGATGAAGCAACAAGTAATATAGATCGGGAAACCGACGAAATGATGCAGAAAATCATTAGAGAAGTGTTTAGAGGATATACGATATTGATTGTGGCGCATAGATTGGATAGTATTATGGATAGCGAGCGGATTGTTGTTCTTGAGAGGGGGAGAGTTGTGGAGGTGGGGAGTCCGGAGGAGTTGCTGGGGAGGGAGGGAGCTTTTGCTGGACTTTGTGGTGCGAGAGGAAGGGAGAGGGAGAGAGAGGGGTGAGTAGGATTGGGAGCTTGAAGTATTTTTTCATTTTTGGCCTGATTATTGCCTTTACTTCTTTCCTGTCTTTGTTATTTTATTTCATTAAATTCCAATAACGGGATAGGCTAACCTTAACTACAATATACTCACTCACTCAAGAAAGATACAGCCAAGTAGCAATTAAATGGCAAGCAGTTTAAGACACATATTTTCACACATGTGCATCACCTAGATTCACTTCAGAGAAAAATGGACACAAAAATATCATACTGTATTTTGTTATTCGAGGTAAAACTCCCCAATAGTATTGGCAAAAAAGAGTTGTCGAAAACGAAGGACAAGGTATCATCAAACAGAATAAAATAAAATCGAACCAAATCAAATCATATGCCCTCAGGCTCTCGAACATCTCCAAATGCGCAGAAAACCATCAAAATCCATAATTACTTCCCTTCCCTTCCATTCCCACCCTATCCCATTCTCCTCTTGCCCACCCCCACCTCATCCTCTCCCTACTCAAGCACCCGAATGTGCCGCAATCCACTGACCAAACGCAATCGGATTTCTCGTCTGAATGAAGACCGTCCCCGGTCCCGTAAACTTGCACACCAATCCCTCTCCACTACTCAATCCACTAATGATTCCTCCCGAAGCCACGCGCTCCAATACGTATTTTGTGTTCCAGGCGACGAGATGTCCATTATCCACTATGTAGCGTTCGCCTTCTTGTAACTATTTCCGTGGTATTAGTTTTCATGTGGAAGAAACAAAAAAAGAAATGAGATCTTAATGATAAAAGAAACGAGAAAAAAAGGAGGGGAAAAACATACATCCTTCCTAATAATCGCACCCAAACTACTAATCCACAACAAACCCACTCCACTAATTTTATAAACAAAGAGGCCCTCTCCACTGAACATCGCTTTCCCAATTCCTTGTCTTTTATACTCTTTGATAACACCTTGTGTAGAAGCTAAATACGCATCCCGTCCTACACTCCACTGTTCATTGCCCGTGAGTCGAATATTCGTGATATCACCTAAAGCCGAGGGAGCGAGGAGAAGTTCTCCCGGACCAGTAAACGTCGAATGTGCCAATTCGCCTCCGATGACTAATTTTTTCATGGAGAATTTGATGGCGCCTTTAAGGGTTATGGTGGGCGTCATTGCGATCATTGCGCCTTTGCTTGGGTTAGCTATCATTCATTGCCTTTGCTTTCGCTTCCACAAAAAAGCTCGCATTACGCGATGGAAGAATGGAAAATGAAAAACAAACCAGGTTTGACAGTCAATGGACATCCCATCGCTAACTGAATCGTCACAATACTATTCGTATCTCTGTGACTAACACGATAACTTCCCCCATTGAAAGTTCCCACATCATCTTGCGTGGTACTTGCTCCTACAAAATGTGCTGCGCTGGGTGCTCCATGATCCAAATTCGTCGTGAGACTTGTATTGAGAGCTGGTTTTTCGGGCGGATAATCTGAGGTATTTGTAGTGGGGTTGGAGCTCGGTTGTGCAAAGTTGGAGTGATGTGTTTCCTGGGGAGAAACGGCGGAGGAAGAGGCATAGGCTTGGGACTGTTGGGGTGGTGGTGTGTGAATGGGGAGATTATGTTGACCGCCGGAATAAGAAGGACGATGGGAGAAATTTGGGGGAGGCGCATATTGTTGTTGTTGGGGAGGAGTAGGTTGGGGGTTAGGAGGAGGGGTATAGCTTGTTGTGGAGGTGGAAGGGGAGGAGGGTAGTAGGCATGCGAGGATTGAGCTGGAGGAGAAACAGGTGGAGCAGGGTATTGAAACGAGGTTTGATTTGGTGGTGGAGAGGTTGGTGGAGCGGCGTATTGGAATGAGGTTTGGTTTGGTGGAGGAGAAGTCGGTGGAGGTGCGTATTGTTGTTGTTGGGGAGCTGGAGCTGGAGCTGGAGCTAGAGCGGGAGATTAGAGGTACATTCTTAGCATATGAGTGATCTCCTTACCTCCATTGCCTCCAGGAGGAGCTATCAACGTATTAGCAGCTGAGTTTTCTCGCAAGTTGACCAAGAGTACTTACGAGGATAATAGGTAGACATCTTGAATGATTTCAAGAATCAAAGTATCTCAAACAAACAAGCGAAAAGATCCAAAGCTATACCAGGCTATGCTTGAGTACTTGTAATTGCAGAGCTGAATTCCAGTCAGCATATCAGCCCATCTCACTGCATCTCACGAAGCTCTGAAGCTTGCCCCGCACTTATTTTCGACCATCCAAACTCTTCAAGATGCAGTACTCACTCATCAGTTCAAATCCTAAACCAAATTCAATACTCAATAACTTACGAATTTCACAAAGACTTCAATCAATCGATCAATCAATCAAGCAAGCATAAATTCAACAAAAACTCAAAACATCAACTCATCGCAAATCCAAAAAAAAAAACAGCAGCTCCCTTCCATCATATAAACCCACCCATCACGCATCTTCTCTCCCATGCAAAATCCCATGCATCTCACACCCAAGCTCCCACACCTCATCTCACGCCCTCACGCCCCGGATTGGCCAGCGCGGTTCTTGGTGCGGGCTGTGCTATTTCCGTTTCTGCTCTGTCTACCAATCATTTCCCCAGGATGGAAATAGAAGCTTGGACTTTGCGATATTGATATCGATCAAAAATGGAGCCCTAAAAATTCCCGAGCGCTTAAGTATTATATCTTCACCAAATTGGTGAGATGAGGAGACTAGATGATGGATGTGTTAGGTGCTATTTACCTAGGTATGGATAGGTATAGAAACTAATTAGATATATCGGTATTAAATATCTAGATTCCAGATGCTATCTTTGGTCATTTATCTGTTGGTAGCAGATAATCTATTGTTTCCCAAAGTTATTTCTGAAAGATATTTATACTATATCGATACCACCTAATATAAATTTCTACCTAGGTGTTTCTGCTTCACCTTGTTATATACCAAGTAGTCACATAGGCACATAGATACATACCCCAATACTAGTATGTATGTATATTTCACAAAAATTTATCCCTATCCATAATCCATATATAGCTTTCCAAGCACACCACACTTCCCCTCCGCGCATCTTTCGTACAACCTCCCTATGTTCCCTTGCAAGACACACCTATGAAAGAATCACCCTTCGATATCCATTATCGATCTGGCTCTTTATGACTATTGGTGATTAAAGCGAGAATACGACGCGTACTCTCTCCTATTCTTGGGTAGACAATTCTCAATACGTCCCACGATGACCCTTAAAATTTTATTCTTAACTAGCTCCAATATTCGGGGTCTAAATCCATATACCCATCGTCATTCCCATTGAGACATAAGTCAAATAAAAGCACGAAAAGTCACTGAAACTAGATTGTAAAAAAGAGAATCCGAATTCAAACTGTCCGGGCATCATTCAAGTTGTTTATCAGTCATTATTTTCTACGTTTCCCCGTCTTGCGGGATAGAGACATCAGTTATGAAATCTTCAGATCCGAGTTGAAGCATTGAAAAGTAGTTAAATTCGAAGGACCATTTGTTCAGGACATCTGTTGTGAAACTTTGAACCCCCAAAGATATTTCACTGTCAACCCTGAATTGAAACACCAACGTAAGGAAAGCTCATAATGTAAAATCCCAACTTTCGACCTAAGTACTCTATATCTGTTATCTTTTTTCTCCTGCCAACTTGCGCAGAGAAGCAAGTAGCTAACTAACAATTCGTGTGCGCCCCCGAGTCTTTGCCTCAACACTCTAACCCTGTTGTCTTCTTCTCTTACCGACTTGTGCAGAGAAACCGGTCTTGATGGCAGTGACGGAACGTCTAGATCCGCAAGAATTGCAGGTGATGAAAAATAATCTGTTCTCTCCTTTGTTGAGTTCGGTATCTGGGGATCGGCAGGTTTTGCAGGTGACATATTCCACTGTGAAGAATGTTAGTAGAGCTTATAAAAATAAGAAACAAAACGTACTGATATATTTCCTCAAAACGTTTTCAATTTGCTTCTGTTGGAAACGACCCTTGATGACCAAACGTCTGCTACCATCAACGGAACCGTTGGTACCCAATTCAGCAAACAGATATTGAGTAACGTGCTCATCAGTTCTCTTCATACGTTTGCAAATCTCGGCAATATTGGCAAAGATGGTCTTCTTGTTTCCTTCACGGAGACATTGTGGAGGAGGAATCTTATAACTCTTGGAACCGGAAGATGCGTGGTCTGGGTTCTTGGCTGCGAGCAAGGTGAAGAATCTGGAGAGGAGTTGTTCGTATGAAATTACTTTGGTCTCATCATGCGCCCAGATACCTGTTCCCTTAATCATATCACCATCATCGACTGGGGTTTCCTCTGCCGCCTTTTCACCCTCGCCTTCGTCGTTGAGATTTGCAGCTGCAAGTCTGGCTGTGAAATCATCTTCGGTATCCTTGGTCTTCTTGCTTCTCTTCTTCTTCTTCATTGTCGAGAGATCGAGACCACCATCTGCAGCAGCTTCATCACCTCCCTCCTCGCCTTCCTCAACCTTCTTGCTCTTCTTCTTCTTTTTCTTCATCAAAGACAAATCGCCCAATCCATCATCTTCCTTGGTTGCGGTCGCATCATCGCCATTGCCTTGGAAAGGATCAGTAAATGCGCCCAAAGCTTGAGAAAGTGGCGGCGTACTAGGTGAATGTGACTGCGCCGTTTCTTTAGTATCGTCGTGTCCGTCTTCCTTCATTGTGACTTCCCCGTTCTCGTCCACAATCGTAGTTCCTTCGCTGAAGGCTACGGATTTACGTGGTTTGGCGTCAACTTCCTGTAGTACGTTGTTAAAATCGGGCCTGAAATGAGAACGATCAAGATTTAGGTGGGGTGAAATTGATTCACAAAGGGTAGAGCGATTGTTAACTTACTGTGTCGGCCATGATTGCGCTAGTGATTATTTTGATATTATCTTCTGATGGGAACAATCCTATAATATTCCTTTGGCGTTGTTGTTTGAAATGTGATGTGGTTGTGTGTGTTCGGAATAAAAGTTGCCCGCACTCACTCGATATATAATAATTGATTCGATGACTCAAAAGCCAGCTTTTAGCCTTAAAAATTAAAGGTCAAAGGCTATATCACGTGACTGATCGCCACAAGCAAATCGGCGCCGACTTCAAGCTCCAAGTATGAGATATCTAAGCAATTATCAGCCTTCCCTATAGACTCTTCTCGTACTTCAATGCATCGCCAGACTCTAATTTGGCGATAGCGATTTTCACGTTCTTTTTATGCTTTTCCTAGGAAATTAATTAACCCTCTACGTCCATCTACTCAACCGCCGTTCGATCAACCCTCCATTACCCCAAAATGTCCATCTCCGCCTCAGATTCCTATATGCATGCCTCCTCCCACACTCAAGATGACGAGCTCCACGAGTTAGATTCTCTGCCTTCCTCTGTTGACAGTTCAGATTACGCCTCTTCAGACGATGGAGAAGAATCCGATGCACAGAAAGAATGGGAAGCCAGTTTGCAGCAGTTGGAAATGATGCTTACGATGGTGATTGTACCGTGGTGTGGGAAATACTTTGGAAGGAAATTTGCTTATTGGAGTATGTTCTCCTATTTTTTTTGCTATTGTCTTTGATTTCTTTGTTTGCATTTTGATAGTTTTTGCTCGGGAGATGAGGGGAGGAGTTTATAACATCTCCGTCATTCAAATATTGTGCATGTAGATCGGGTAGAATACTGGCTAATCAATCGACGTGTTTGCGAATAGGTTGGGCAAAGTATATGACATGGAAGTATCCAGTCACCGTCGAAATAACCAGTAACCCTACCTTTAAGGGTGCCGGAGCTATCGAAGCCGCAGCTACGTTATGAGTAAAGCCAGGTGTTTGAGTAATCTGTGAGCTATCGACCTTAAAGCCTGTGATTGTGAGGCAAGCCAATACCAGAGGGGGTATATTTACGAGTGCAAGTCGCAGATTCGAGAGAGACTTCCATGTGAAGTTATGGACGCAAAGCTCGTGGGCAAGTGAACATGTGAACTAGGGAAATATCAGACACCAGTCATCGGATGTTTCACGCAATAGGAAAGTTCTTGGTATATCATCAGGGACGTATCCAGTTACAGCGAGCGTGGCATGGGGATTGGCGTTTATAGATGATGTATATGGGGTATATTGCAGATATGTGGTACATCGGCTGGGTACACTGCATAAAGAGGATCGCTTGAGGACAAGCAGGAAGTGTACATGATTTAGTTTACTCAGTACATATGGTAATGAATCTACACATTTTCCAGAAATGGTTTTGTTTCCATGAAAATGGAACGAAGCAGTCGCAGCTTTTGATTGATGGTTCATTTAAAACTATACACGCCTCGTTTGAATATCCCTTCGTTACAAAAAAATTAACACACCTTATTGTTAACTGTTCAATGCTGTGCACATTATGGTGTTGTTGGACGATATGTTAGAAGACATCGAATACATTTATTTATTATTAAGTATGGTATTATTAAGTCCATATTCCCGAACATATTGTACACATCAAAAGATGGCGTCCAAAATCCCTTCTGCCTTTCCTATGTCAAAATCGTGAAGACATAAAGATCGTTTACATAGCCTTGCGCTTGAACGCAATTCAAAATGGGCATTCCGCCCTACCTGATATCCTATTGCCCTGACCGCAAATAGTAAGCTTTCGTTGCCACTTGATCTGATATATTTGTTAGTTGAGATACATAGTGACGATAGATAATGCGGGATAAAGTATCGAAAGAGTAAAATTGAGGAGAGTACTAACCCATTGTTTGCCAATTCGTTGCTTAGACTTGGGACATGGTTGGTCCACTTTTGCGAACATTGCTACGACGAGCCATGCTGGAACCTCCACCGATGAAATCCATAGCGATGGACGCAGCGAACAAGGCAAAAGCGAACCAGAAAAATGCGGTGGCAGCCTGGAGCAACCGGCATCTTTCTGCCATTCCCTGTGTCAAGCTATTGCTGAGCAGATAGCCCTAGATGTTTGTTAGTAAAGGTGGTCACCAGTACGGCTGGAAAAGTCAAACTTACTTTGTTACTGCAGCTGCGTACACCGAGTCTGGCGGCAAGAACAACACCAGCAATGAAGTTGAAAAGGGTAGCAAGACCGTCCATGGCACCCAAGATCATGGGCTGTGCGAGCGACTCTACGAATGCGGCTGCCATTCCATAGAAAACGACAATCATTGAGAAAACGGCGACAAACATGGCCCAGTTCACACTTGAGTTGCCGAAAAATTGGTCATCTATGGCCGAAGCGACGAGAGCGAGGGCAATGAGGACGCAGAGAAATTGGAGAACCCTCAAAACTAGTTGTGGCAGTGAAAACATTTTGGAATGATTTTGTGGTGTTTAGTGTGGCGAGAAAGGTATGTGTTGATATTTCTGTCGGAGAGCTTTTGATACGAAAGCTGTTTGTCGATATAAGAATAAATTAATGAAGAAGCAAAGTCTCAGGGAGGGAGTTTAATGTATATGAGAGCTATGAATAAGCTCTACGCTATCCAGTTTGTAATTCGTGTGACGATGATGATGATCGGTGATGACTCCAAGGATGTCAAATCTCCAATGATGCCTTTTCCTAAGCTACCTTCCTTGACCAACGCAAGACCGAGTTATCACTGGTGAGGAAGCTAAGAGATTATGACGATTGTTGAAGAAAGCTTTACTGGATCGAGTACAGCGTGGAATATTAATTAACGTAAGGAAATGGTGGAAAGGGTAGGATCCGGATCATGCGGGAGGGACGGAATGGTGGAGTATTAGTATTTGGTATTGGTAGGTAGCACTACGCTCCAACACAATGGATGATATTGAAAGTGTCAAAGAAAATAAGAGATGGATGAAGATAACTCGAGTAGGGCTTTTATTATGTATGAAGGGAGGGAGGGTATGGAGGATGTTTCTGTGATATTCGATGGAATGATTCTTTCTTTTTTGCTACTGAAAGAAACAAACTGCGATTGATTGTACGTCCGAATTCCCCTCATTCATGTGGCGTCATATTTTTACTACCCACCCTACAGCAACCTTGTTCTCCCATCTCATTCGTACAGCAGCAAATACTGTGGTACCAACTTAATTCTAAGCTTCTTGACAGATTCTCTCTCTGCATTTCTATTCGCTGGAAACATCCCCTCGCCTGTTGTGTATATGCCCAAGGAGTATAGTGCATTCCAATTAATAATCCTTCTCTCTTCTTTGTTTCCATCAACAATTTCAATGATTTCATCGATGCGAATGAGCCCAGACCACCCCACCTGCATGTATGTAAGAATGTTAATGTTCCGATGGATTCACGAAAGTATAAAAACAAGAAATCGTCCAAGCTTCGTTTTCATCATTAATTGGGTGGAAGATCTGGAGAACGCGAGGAAGCAATGGGTCTCTCGGCAGTTATGATACCCTTGACGTTGGTGGCTGATAAGAGATTGATGCTTGGATATCTCGATTATTGGAATGTGAATCTGTCTATGAATATGACTGAAACAGGTTTATCGATGTTATATTGTGAGCTGTTTCGATGCATGTCATTCAAAAAGTTTAAATATTAAAGATTCATTGATCAAGTTGGTTGCAAGAGAAATTTCTTGTGAAAAAATAAAAAAACTTCCCAAACCACCGAATACAGTAAGTGCTAAGTGCAAAAACGAGAGATATTCGGGTCCCTCGGAGGTTTGCATGAAAACTTGGTCCCCTTTTTTTGGTGGGAATCTCAAAGCTTATCAGATAACTTGCTATGATCATCGTTGATCGGAGCTCTGTTGCCGAGCCACGATCTTGAGTCTCGAGCATTCTAGACGAAGGGAATTCCGGTACTTGGTGGGGATAAGATTCTGTTTCACGATCTTGGAATTACACATAGCTTTCTTTGCCCTATATGTAGAAACTAATGGGCACAGTAAGTAGAACAAGTTTCGGGCCCTATCGTTTCCCTAGTTCGAGTCCCTGATTACCCAGCGAAGTAGCTTTGATCGTATTACATGCTAAGACAGGTGTTCATAGAGTACAGTAAAGGATGACTTTCTTCGCTCTTTTTCGACCCCGGATACCTCATTGTCAGCCCGCTGTATGTATCGAATCAGGTAATCTCCTCCAATGCCGGCGGAAATCGTACTGCCAGTTATTAAACATCCATTAACAAACCACCACCAACAATCTTTCACATTCTTTAAGTTGACCTTCTTGATCATGACAGCCAAAGTAACAGCAGCACCTCCACATCCACCAACGAAGAAGACTGGTCCTGCACCAACAGCAACGCCGGCAGCTGTCAATAATCCAACCTGAGTTATGGCGAGCCCGGTCAAGATCTGTTTGGTTTGAGCATCATGCCGTAATGCTATGCTTTTGATTCCTGCTTTAGCATCATCTTTGATATCCATATGCGCATATATCATATCGTACAAAACTGTCCATGCCACATTCGACGCATACAAGAATCCAGTTGCGGTCATAGCGGCACTGTTGGACAGTAAATCAATTCCAAGAGCAGGAAATCCCATGATTGCACCCCAGGAAAATGTCAAGCCCAAGACAAACTGCGGATAATGAGTAACACGCTTAGCTAGTGGATACGAAGCCACGAAAAGCAAACTCGGGGTAGCATAGAAGAAGCATTGGTATGGAAATTGAAGAAGGACCACGAGGCCAGCAAGTAATTGACCTCCAGTGAAGACTAAAGCTTTGAATGGAGAGACAGCTCCTCGCGCGATAGGCCGTAGTCGAGTTCGAGTAACATTAGGGTCAAGATTTCGATCCCAAAGATCATTGATAGTACACCCCGCACCACGCATAATTAAGGCGCCGCTGAAGAACAAAAGAGAAGTTCCCACGACGGTCAGAGGCGAGACCATAGGGTCAGTTAATGGAGCCCCCAATAAAGTTGAAAATAGACATGGAAAAAATAGATAATAAGTTCCTGCTGGCTTGTCTAGTCTGATGAGCTCAGCATATGGTACCCAAGAAGATGGAAGTTTTGATAATAGGCCGGTAGTTGGAGGTACATAAGGTGTGATAACTGGTGATGGTGTAGCGGTATCTATGTTCGAAATTTTTGTATTGCTCAAAGTCGTCGGAATGGCATGTGCTTTGACACTGAGATATCTTTCATGTCGAGCCTCGACATTCTTTCTTGCTTCTTTCCTACTAAGATATGAAGAGGTGGTGATCCTGGAATAGCTGATTGGGATTTTGAGCGAGGGCCTCTGACTCCAGGAAATGTTTTGAAAGAATGCATTCCGGCAGCCTCCCGGCAAACTGAGTACGCCATTTCTAGACATCATTGAATGAGATGGACAATAACCACTACTATTCGTTAGTTTGATAAGAACCTACTGCTTCTCCTGTAGCTTCCAGTGAGGAAACTTTCTTGGAACCACGCCCGAATGTGCCAATTTCAAGCAAGGGGACAACATCAAAACTCAGGGCGAAGATTTTTTCGTCAGGTTCGCCAAGCCAATGGCAAACTCCATGCTATCTTAATCGGGCACTCCTCGAGATAAAAAAGGTACGTTATTTCTTGCATGTCAACCAAGAGCTTTATGTATATCACTTGATACACTGAATTTCAGTGGAACCTACAATGATGCTTCTCACTCCTCTAATAAAACCACAACTTGAGGATAGCTGGTAAAAAGCAACGGCAACTTGCTTGCAATTGAATGAATAAACTTACTTCGACACAATCAATATCAATTCCCAATGTATTATCTTCAATACATCCACTTTTCATTATTTTTCCTCTTCCAGAAAATTCTGACTAACAATGAATGATAAATGATTGTACTGCAGCCGGAATTGGTGGAATTGATCCACTAGCGCGTTATCGCATGGAAATTCAAAGCAGCCTCGCGTCTCCCTACACATGGAACTCTTCATAAATTTCGTATCGCGATAACCACATACCTATTTGGTACATTGAATAGCTACGATTTTGAATTTTACTTCGCAACCATCTCCACACAACTTAACAAACAGCTTGAACTGAATTTCCTAAGGGGTTTCAGTTGTTATTTCTAATTCGCGCACAGGATACTCCGTCGATCTCACCTGTCTCAGCCATTTTCGCCCATTATCAAGCTTGTGGTATTGATTTGTCGATACGAACGCGACCGACCTTGACTTTGGCATCGATCACCACTGACTTTCATATTGTCCCAGCATATGTTATATCCCAGATACCGAGCAATGATAAGTATGCGATACCAGCTGGTTTTGTTATAGGATCCATTTCACAGTATCCAAGACGTGCAACTGGGGTTCAATATAGCTTGTCGTAATGCCTTCTCAACAGCATCCAAGAGCACAATTCGTACCTCTTTCACCTAATATTGATCTCGACGCTCTAGTCGAGGATAATGCGAGCTTCGACCATGTCCGCAGACTTCCTCAGTCTGACCTAGAAGCACACACTGTACAAAGTTTGGAACAATTAGTATATTCATATGTTGTCCAAGAAGGTCGACCTCTGATTCTTGAAGGATGGGGCTCATACATGCCACCATGGTTATACTCGTCGAAATGGCTAGAGGAGAATTTGGGCAGAGAGGGTAGGTGAATCGATTTTCTTTTCAGTAAAACATTTCCTAAGCTTAACTTTGTTTTCAGTACAAAAGGTTCGAGATATTACCAGCGGCATTGATGTTCAAATGACTATGGGTCATTACCTACGTTCTATGGGCCAACTAGCGAATCAGTTTACCCCTCAAACTTACCGGGACCCAAAACGACAGCGATTATACCTAAAAGATATTGATTGCCCTACTGAATGGGAAGAAAATTTAAAAGACGTTTTGCCGGAAGCCTTTTTTTATCTAAACGATTGTATCGAGTCGCGGACTGGTGGTGATGGAGCAATCCGCGAACCTAATGAATTTGGCCAGATGCGATTTGGAAAAGGAGTTGCGCCTGCAGGTGATCTAATGAGCAGTCTTCCGACAGATATGCGAGCTTTGAATATGATGTGTTACATTGGTCACGAAGGTACTTACACTCCAGCTCACAGAGAAATGTGCGCAAGCTTGGGACACAATCTCATGGTTGAAACTTCGGGTGAAAGTGATGGGGAAATCCCTGGCAGTTCGATTTGGTTCATGACAGAATCTAAAGAAAGAGAGATGGTATCGGAATGGTTCGTTTCCAAACTTGGCCATGATATAGAAGTTGAAAAGCATTTTGCCCAACTGAACGCCTGGAGAAAAGCCCCATTCAATGTCTGGGTCACAGAGCAAAAGGCTGGTGATCTAATTTTGATTCCGCCCCTTGCTCCTCACCAGGTTTGGAATCGTGGAACTCGAACGATGAAAGCTGCATGGAATCGAACCACTGTAGATACGCTTGAGCTTGCCATCCATGAAGCTCTTCCTCGTGCCCGTCTCGTTTGTCGCGATGAACAATACAAGAATAAGGCTATCATTTATTACACCCTAGATAAGTACTATCGCCTGCTTTCACGAGATACGGTGGAGCCAAAGATGTGGATGAGACCTGGAAGTCGAATTAGGCAGGTTATGGAAGATTTCAAACGTTTGTTTAAATTATACACAGAAGTACTGATCAGTGAGCTGTTTTCTCGCTCGTGCCCTGAGAAGAACGTGGAATTTATTCAATACGATTCAAACGTTACTTGTTCATATTGTCGATGCAATATCTTCAATCGTTTCTTGACATGCAAGTCATGTATTCTCACAGCTCCTACAGGAGAGGAAGATACCTATGATATTTGTATGGAATGTTACGCCATGGGTCGTTCTTGTGCTTGCATCTCTTGTTTGGAGTGGGTCGAGCAATGGAAGGAAGATGAACTTAAAGAAAACTATGAACTATGGCGCGGTGTGGTATTAAATTTTGAACCTCTTCACGAAGGTTCACCTAAACCCTTAGAGGAGGAAAGGGGCAGAATTGGCAGGAAAACTGTTGCTCAAATATGTCAAGAACAACTTGCCATCCGGCCATGGAAAGACATCACTAAACCAGATGTAATAGAGCCGTTAGATGGTGAGTCGGATGTTGAGCCAGAAGCTGATGATGAAGGGCGCCTAAAAAAACCATATAGAAAGCCTTCTAGAAGAGGTAGAATTCAAGCCACTAAAAACAAGACAAGTGCTTGTCATATCTGCTGCAATCATCATTGGAATTGGCAATCCGCCCACTGTACCACTTGCTCCTCATCCTATTGCTATGGAACTTTATGGCGAGCCTTTGACATGATGCCTCAAACAGTAATGGAGATGGAAAACTGGGAGTGTCCAAAATGCCTGAAGATGTGCTCATGCGCAAAATGTCGGAGAGATGCGAAACAAACACCATATACTCCCAAGGGGACACTCCTTGGACATGATACCAAAAAGGTAGCCGACTACAGGAGTGTTGAGAGTCTAGTTGATTTTTCCAAAACAAATCTTACTTGGTTGAGACACGAAGATGAAAATCTGCCAAATTCTGAAGAAACCGGAAGAATGAGGAGGCTGCGAGAGAAAGCTGAAAGGGATAAAGCACAGGAGCATGTTATTGATAATAGTTACTTGGGATATGAGGAAGAAGCTTTCTACCGAGCGGACGAACCAGAGGATACCCATTTGAACGATATGGCAGACATCGACCCTTCACTTCGTGATGACTCAAATCAATCAGCCCAACATCAAATCAACGGATTCCATCCATCTTGGAATCAGATGCAGGAGCCGCGTGAATATACTATTAACGAGCAGCTTCATCAGCAATTAGGAGTTCTTGATGCACATCATGACCCAGATGATAATTATCATGCTGATATGCACGGCCCTAGTAGAGCAGCACAATACCCATCAAGACTCTTGGCACCATCGGTGGTACCAGTGGCACCCATGATTTCTAGGGAGGTTCCGCTACCTGATCCCCAAACACCTAAACCTGCCAACATGATGGGTGGTGATTACTACCCAACAGAAATTGGGCTGGACGGCATTCTCTATGATTCTCCGAAATCTGACTCAGAGCCAGCTGATGTGCCAACTGTTGATCCTGCAGAACTGCTAGCGTCACTTGATCAGTTCCGTAGTGTTACAAAGAAGAGAAAACGCCTCAATTCTGAAGGCATCCCTGAGGGTGACGAGGAGGATGTGGAATTCTTCGCTTCCAAGCATCAAAGAAAGGTCAAACCCAAGGAATCAGTCGATAAAGAAAAAGGGCCAGATAGTATCTCTAAACCTGAACGTCGTCCTTCGCGTGTTAACAAACGACAAGATTATACTGAGCCATCATTGGCGGATGTAGAGAATTTGTTAAGTTCGGAAGAAGAAGACGAACAACAGCCAAATTCAGCGCAGAGTTTGGTTGGCAGCGCTGGTAAGGTAACAGGTGATGTTGATCTCGTTGAAAAGGCTTTGAATTATTTTGCCAAAGAACAGACAACCCAGAGAGCTGGCTCTACACCCGTCACCAATGGTAAGAGAAAGCGTGGTCGTCCAAGCCTCGCATCTAAAATGGCAGCTTCTCCTAGTGTGGATTCCTCTTCTAAGCTATCAAAGTCACCTGCATCTATCAAACATCCTCGAAAATCTAAATGGCTTTCAAGACTTGATGGCGTGGATGATCAGGAGGATAATAGCTCTGAAGTGTCAGCCACGAGGAGCAGAACCTTGCGCAACAGTGCGCCACTAGAAATAAAGTCTAGAGCTACTCGACAAACTCTTGCTAATGCGCGAGGTGGCAAAAGCGAGGCCGAAGCAGAGAGTGATGATCCATTTGAGGACCAGCCTAGGAAGACGCGAGGAACTCGCCAAAACATGGTATCAAGAGAGCCGAAGTTGCACATTAATATTTCAGATGATGAGTCTGAACGATCTGGCAACGAATATAACGACTATGGCCGGGAAATCAGTGATGGTAGTCTTTTTGGAAACGATGCAGAGCATGTTGCTAGTCCAGTTAGCCCTGACATGTCTGAAGATGAAGACCAAACAAATGATAAAATAGCCGAAAATTCTAACAATGATACTACATCACCAGAAGCTAACAAAACAAGACTATCGGAGCAGTCTATTCATGCATCTATTGAGGAGCCAGTAGTTGTCAAGAAACGAAGAGGTCGACCACCGAAGAAGACGCAAAACACACGCCCCATCCAAGCAATGCCCGAATTGCGATCACCATCTTCGTCTAAATCGCCTCCACCACCTGGGGGCTCTAATTCTATAGTCGGTAAACCGAGCCAGTTCCTTTCACTTCGTGAGAAGCTTGCCCTTAAAGGAAAGAAGCCGAAGATTGTCTCGCAACAATCCAAGCAAAAGAAGATTGATGAGCAGCAGCAAAGACAATCAGCTACACCAAGCGCTAGAGATATGTCATCCAAGGTGGTCAATTCAGCCCAACAGTCACTGTTGTTCACTCCCGTCGATGGTACATGTCCTAGCAATTCAATCCCTCTACCAAAAACAGTCTCTGGAACATCTTCAACTGTACCTTCACGCCAACAATCTATAAGCCATGATGAGATGCCCGGTACGGTGACTAACCCAGCGACAGATGCCCAGAACATCTCATTGAAAGACACCATCTCACCTGCTCCTAATGGACAAGCTTCATCATCAAACAATAGGAGCATTTCAGCACAGCCCGTCAAGAACGGACTAACAGTCGTGCATCTTGATAACGACAACGATAACAAGCCAGTGAAGAAAGGGCCCACAGTCGTCCGACTCATAGAATCAGAATCTGAGACCGAATCCGACCATGATGATGACTCGGGAACGAAAAACTTAGGTCCATCCAAATCAGCTAGGAAGGAGAGTTTCAGCGAAGAATCAGATGAGGAAGGTTGGTCGAGTTCAGATGATGATATTCCTGCTGTTAAAGCTGTTAAACATGTCAGTATGTCACCGGCGCCTCCAACCTTGAAGTCCCCGGTCGCGACAAGAGGAAGAGGTAGACCCCCCATCCCTAGATGAGTTTTTTGATCACGTAGAAGAGCCGATGGGGTTGAAGCGCATATATTTCTGCTGGTATAGGTATTACGTGTGAACTTTAATTGCTTGCTTGCTTGCTTTATGGCGTGCGAGGAAGAGCGAATATACCCATATTTCTGTAAATTCTGCGTGGATGGATTTTTTCGCAGCTGGCATTTGCCTGGATGAACAACAGACAGGTTTCTTAAGGCTAATTTGCTTTTGATGAAAGGAATAGGTAGCTAGGTCGCTTATTTGGGGGGGTGGGTGGGTCTTGAAGAAAATCCAACAAATTATAATGGGGAAATGAAACTAGTGAGTCAACATTTGCTTAGTTAATAAGTAGATCCCACAATCACAAGAAGTCGTAAATACCAATCTCTAGTCTCTGATTTGTGCAACCATGATTATGTGCAATTTATTAGTTCGAATACTTGGGTATTTAGAGTCTACGCCTGTAAGAAATATCCACATCAACCCATCAAAAGCTACAAACGCCAAAACCCATTTAATCTTGTCTAATGTCGTCTAGACTTGTCTACCCTCTCTCCTCCCTCTGTTCTTCATCATTTATTCCCTCTCGCCCCTTCTGTCCTCTAACGCCCCACCCATCCCTCAACAACAAGCCCACCTCCTCTAATCCCAACCCCTTCGTCTCCGGATACACCCACCAAATGGCCCACCATCCAACCGCGCATACCACCGCATACACAACAAATGTCCACGTCGGAGTTAGCTGTTCCATCATTGGAAGAAACGTAAGTCCTATAATGAAATTCGCCGACCAGTTTGTACAAGTAGAGAGAGAAGAGCCGAGGGAGCGGACTGAGAGGGGGAAGAGCTCGGATTGCATCCATGGGACGTTTCCGAGACCGAGAGCGAAGGCTGCGGTATAGAGCATTATTGCTATTAGGATTATGAGGGGTGGGATGCGGGATGTAGAAGTGGAGGAGGATGTAGTGGAGGAGAGGGTGGAAGGGAGATCCATGAAGTGGAAGCCTATGGAGCAGAGGAGGAGTCCTATAACCATTATGGGGATTGAAATGAGGAGGATACGACGACGACCGATGCGGTCGATAAGCATGAGAGCGGCACATGTTAGAATGAAGTTTGTGAGTGCAACGGAGAGGGATGTAAGAGTTGGGGAGGAGAACCCCACAATGGTGAAGATTGTGGCGCTGAAGTACATGAGTGAGTTCTAAGATATTTGGATTAGTTGAGTTTGTGCTGAGCAGAAAGATTGTACTTACGAAACCACATAACTGTTGAAGACCTTGGAGAAGACAGGCAATTGTCAAGGCTCTCCTGTTTCCTCCAACTCCTATCAATTCTTCCCAGCTATCCTTCGCGTCACTTATCCAAGAGTCCTCCGATCCCTTAGTTTTCCTCGCCATCTCTCTTAACCTTTTTGCCTCATCTTCCTCTCTCACTTCCCTTTCAATTCCCTTCAAAACTTCATCCACCACCTTCTGCATCTCAGCCCCTTTCCCAAAAACTCGACTCAAAACACTTCTCCCTCATCGACTCTCCCCACCTGTATCAACCACCTCGGAGTCTCTGGCATAAATAGCATAACTAAAATCTGTACCGCTGCAGGAACCGCACCCAAACCAACCATCCACCTCCACCCGGTCTCTAAACTCCCCCATTCTACAAAAGCCCAGCCAACAATGTAAGCCACAACTTGTCCCAATGTAATAAACAATACATTCAACACCACTAATCTGCCTCTCCACATAGTTGGTGCTAATTCACTTATATACAACGGAGCAACGAAGCTACCTGCTCCGACCGCGAGTCCCACAATACTTCTGCCAAGTATCATGCCCCATACCGTGGTTGTGAACGCTTGGATGAGTGCGCCGAGAACGAATGCTAGGTCTGCTAGAAGGACAACACGTTTGCGACCGAGAGAGGAGGCGAGGATGCCGGAAAGGGGAGAGATGATGAGGGCGAAGAGAGAGGTGCATGATGTTATTAGGGATTTATCGAGGGTTGTTAAGGAGCGGCCGAGAGAAGTATGGAGACTTATTAGGGTGGAGGATATTACGCCAGTGTCGTCTGGTTCACATATTGTTAGCTACGAGATATTTCCGGATATAACTTTGGAACGAATCGCAAGGAGTTGGGAGAATAGAGAGGAAATCATACATCCAAATAATAACCCCGTAATACCTGCCGAAAAAGCAAGTAACCAAACGAATACCCCAGGTTTAGTCAAATTCTTCTCGAGAAGTAATGAGACATCTTCGTCCACCTCATTCTCCTCTTCCTCGCCGTACTGATTTGACAAGAGAGGTTCTTCGGCAGTAGAAGATGCCATTGTTTCGAGTGGGATATCTATTGAAGATGCCAGTGTGAGTTATGTGAACATCGACTTCACATATCGTAGGTCGGAGATTGAATCGTTGCTAGTGGTTGGCAGTGAGATTGATGAGAGGTCTTGGAAGTCGCTCAGCCGCGTGGTTCCTGAATGGTTGTTTGCGGGTCCGATTCTGAGACATGTGGCTCGTGCGTGGCATATGCAGGGTTTATGCAGGGGTTTTGGGTGCCGAGATTGGGGTCTTGTTCAGCCTTGCGTGGAAGGCTTAATGCAGAATGGGATATTGTGTCTTTATGGTATTTATTTATGGAAAGAAGTTGTGGCTTTCTGAGTATCAGTTTTTTAAATTAACATCAACAGATATACTTCTGATGGCCTCGGTGAGTTTTTTACTTCCAGTGTCAGTATATCTATATTATCTGGTATCATCACCTGCTTAGAGGAGCTTGGTTGATTAATATGATCGTTAAAGTCGATGCTTTAATTGTTGTTGGACGAGAATCACCTTATATCTAATGTCAGACAAAATCAATCAATGTCAATGCCAGCGCAACGCAAAATTCAGGGAAGTAGTCATCCCCATGTTCTCGTTTTAAAGGAGCGAAATGGGAGGGTTACACAGGACTACAATCTTACCTTTCACGCAAGTAAGATAAGACAATCGATGATAGATATTCATAAGACGGAAGACTTTACGCCAGTCGGTTGTCCTTGTTATCACCATGATTCCAGACCATACACGTGATAACATATATAGTGAGCTATATAGGAAGAGGTGCTGGACAATGGAGAGTAAAATCAGAAGTATATGACCACACACTTCAAGGCTAATTCGGTTTGTATTTTACATTTAATCTAGCTATTGTTTCCTGGACAGCTAAATGTTCTTTTGTAATTTCGGATTCTGGGTATGCCTCGAGAGCCCAAACACTAGATGCTTGAGTCCTGGGATATCCTTCCATTGCCTTTGGTCCAATATTTCCGTACCAAGCTATTGAAACCAGCCAATTTTTCGAGATCGGTATAATCTAAGGGAAAAAATTGGATGTGATAATTCTGAAATTTGAAAGCCATCCTCCTTTCAGATCCGTGGATTGGCAATAATATAGTTTGTGACTGAAAACAACTATGGTGAAATCATTTTATTTGTAAAAGACGCGATTGCAGGTATTCAATGTAGTTCGAGTTACGAGCACGTTTTCGTGGAGTTTATGTCAAGACTCACTAAACGAGAAATGCCATCTACCTCTGGTGTCATGAAAACCACCTCAAAAACACCGTCTAGACCATCAATTTCGTCCAATGAGAGAAAATCTCCGAGTGCCAAGGTAAGCATGCCGATAATGTTGTCAATGTTGTCAATGAAGTGCTGTAATATCGCAGCCGTGAATGACATGTCAAGATGAATCGAATCTATGTCCTAGTTGAACCATGTTCGCGGCTCGACTCCCAATGAGCCAAAGGTAAGCGTGTAGCTCTCGGAAGCAACCTCTAATGATTCCCTGCAAGTGTAGAAAATTGTTGGATTTGAGTCTCTGGACGCAACCCCTCTAATGGCTCCTGAATCCTAGTCAAGGAAAGTGCGCCAGCTGCAGGGCTTCGATCTTCAAATTGGTAAGTGACATAACCACAGCGAGGTCCAAGAACTCGAGGTCATGGGCAAATCAGGACTTACCGAACGATAGGATACTCGGGATTCCTCAAACAAAAACGTTTCAGCGCCACATTTCTCGGTCCAGAAAGTGCAGCTCTCCAGATCATCCGTCGAATTTCTAAGGGTAGCCGGGGAAATGGATGAAATATCGCATTGCGATCGGGTCCGACAAAGGCAGAGACGGGAGTCATCTTCGGAAATCTAGAAAAAACACATTAGTAATTCGCATTCTGAGATTGGAATAGCAGGCGTACTGAAAGAGTAGACCTTTTAGGAGAATTGTACTGACTTTGCGAATTGGCAAACCAATAAAGAGGTGAGTCTTGTCGCAGAGAATGAAAAGTTGAAAACTATGAGAAGTTCGATACGGGTTGTGAGTTGGTGTGGCAGAGGAACTTGACGAGAATAAAGAATGATAACTCTTCAATATTGGTAAATTCAGAGGAGATGTGGAGGAATATATTTGCAAGAAGTTAACTTGTTAAGTATTACTTACCAAGGTGTGTGAGTCGAATTAAAATCGATTGAAAGTGAGTTGGGAATCCCACCCCGCTACCAACCTGTCCCATAATGCTTCACTTCCGACAAACATCAACACGTCATTACAATTTCATCCGAATATGATTTCAACAACTATTTATTATTTTATTGAATAAATTAAACAAACAGTATTAATGAATTGGACGGGAGGGCGCCTGCAAAGGCATTCTGGAAAATCTGCTCGGGGCGGCGGCGGTGGTGCCTTGACCAAACGACAAAAGGAACACTTCGCAAAGGTGAATGCCAACTTAAGAACTGGACGTCAAAAAAATGTTACTACTGAATGGACAATATTCGACAATATCATAGTGGAACAATCACACAGACAATCGTTTGGGAATAATGTTGATTCGGTGAAGAATTCTGAGTGTAGTTTAAGACAAGGAAGAGGGAGAAATGAAGTTGAGCGAAAACATTTCACTGATCTCTACAAACACAACGATCTCACATCAACTCCACTGTGCAGAGATCTTCAATATGAGCAGAAAAACAATCGTTCTTCGCCATTTGAAATCGTCCAAAGAAGTTCCATTGCTGACGATGATTTGTACAATGCTACACCTCCACCATTGAAAATCAAGCGCGAGTATGCCGCATCGTCTGAGCTTAGAGATGATCTGCAGAACTACGAGGCGCAAGAAGCAACAGAACAATCTATGGAAGAAATTAGACGAAATTTATTGAAGCAGAAAGACTGGGTTGGCCTAAATATTCATCATTTGCCGAAATTGAGATTCAATCAACCGAGACACGATGAAGATATTGGGCGAAGAAGAAAGGTAAAGGGTGGACACAGAGCACGATACTCTAAACTTCAGACAAGAATCCGCTCACCATTTGCCGCAAGAAACACTCAAATGCGAGAGCAACAAGAAGCGGGTTACATGGAAGGAAGACCGCCGAAAAATGACGTTAGAATCTCGATTGGTGGCAGGGTTGTTCCGCCAGGCATGAGTTCGAGTTCCCGGCCGACGAAAGTGATCCGCCAATCTACACCCCGCACGAAGCACCGAATGTTGTCATCGGATGATATGTTGCTTGACGATGAATGTATCGTGGAGGACCAGGAAGATTTGAATAGTGATAGGTTTCTTTCTATTTTCGAAGCAACAATACATGGCAATGGAGAGGACGACACTTCGACGAGGATAATTCCATCGAGCAGAGGCCCGGAGAACCACGGTACACATGGAAACCAAGGGAAGGGTGCAAATACAAGACGTGAACCGCTCCTTAACATAACCAACGGGAATGGAGCTTCAAATAAGTTTGGGGGTAAAGAGTCACCGTTTTCTCGCACAGCCGTCAGATCAATTTGTGATACTAGAATGAAACAGCCAATGCCCATTCGTCCTGCACATCATCCGGTTCTCCGCTTAAGCTCGCCTAAGTGTAACAGTAGCGTGCTTGGGCAGATCGGGGGCTTGAGAAGTGTGGTTTCCGAAGATCAATTGATGAACAATGAGATGTGGAAGGCATGGATACCACCACCCACAGAGGGCACAGAGCACAAGAATTATGATGAAGCAGGAGAAGATGAAGAATATTTGAAGGATAGGAGTGTATCTATAAGCCCGGGAATAAGTGCCATTCCAGCCTTACGTGAGAAGATCTTTAGCAGCTCAGGATCCAATGACAAGGACTCTGCTGGACAATATGAGCATACAGAGTCTTGGAGAGGCTGTGAAAGCTCGATAATACAGGAGCAGTCTACAGCAGTATATAAGACAGATTTGTTTCCTTCGGACGACGTCAAAAATATCTCATACAATGGTATGCCGCACAGTTCAGATGTATATGATCACCCTTTCTCGTCTGATAAATGTGAGCTTGGAAATGAGAGAAAGACATCCTTGGCATCCATACAATATACAAATGAGGACGGTATCACAATCGAACCACAAGACAGTCGATCGTCGCAGAGAACATCTTCAAGCATTCCATGGGATCCTCCTAGAAGCTCAAGTCCTTGTATAACCAGTCGTTCTCACAGTAAGTTTCTCAGTAATCCTTGGTCTGAAGCTCTTCCTGTCCAGCAGACGCCTATCGATAGCAGACAAATCACCGAACTTAAGGAAGCCGCACCACAGCACGATCAAATCATAATGCGGGATCAAACTTTCGGCAAAGTAAAAGATTGTCCGACGCAAGGTGTTCAAAAGAAAACAGACCCAAACGAACTCTGGATGAAGTTTGTTTTTGATGATATCAGTGAAGAGGAGGACATGGTATTGGAAAAGACTACACCCGCAGGATTTGAGCTCGAGGAGAAGGAACCCTCGCCCTCATTTTCAACCTTTGTGCACAATTCAGTCGATTCCGAAAGTCCATTGCAACCTAGATATGTTGCGCAAGCGAGTAATCGCAATACATGGCAAGATACACTTCAGAGAAACAGCAGCGCGCGTGGGGACGAATTTGGCCCGTCTCCCTTGTACTCAACGTTCGCTTGTCATTCCATTATTAATCGCGACCCTGTAGGAGCAGCTGTCCGAAATAAGAGTACTCCATACCCACACGAAACAAAACACCATCAAACTAATAGAAATTTGAGTTCAAATAATTGTGCTTCGGAATCGGCAGTAGACTCAACAAACTCCAGAATCCCAACTGACAGTACATCGTCATCTCCAAAGACGGACTCGCTTTCTATGATGGCTGTCTCAGGTTCTCAGATCAATACATCAACAACAACGACTCAAAGAAGATTTTTCCTAGAACCACATCGCAAAATTTTGTTCACAAAACCTCAGCCATTTATTGGATCGAAATCAGATATAAACTTCTCATCTCCTGATAGAATTGTTCGTATCGGTGGAAGAGATGTCAAAACGCAGATGAGCAGTGGGAATGGCATGATATTTCCAGAAGAGATAGAGGATGATTAAAACATATTTGCGTGTTTGAAAGATGTAGTGTTTACTTACTAGTGCGGTTTTAACTCGGATTAGCAGGGTATATTAGCTATTTTTAACTTCAGAGAGCTGGAATTGGCTAGATAGTTAGTATTTGACTGGCTGCAGAAGGAGAGGCAATCAAATATCATTTTCGCGAATAAGATTGCACGATTGCTAGTTTTTCTCGGTTCTTATGGATATCGCTTTTCTCATGAAATTTTACACAAAACTTTGAATCTTTTTGATAGCGAAATTCGCCGACGGCAAATTTTCCCCTTTGTGAGTGTCAAGATATACAATTGATTAACGTTGAATCGTATCACATTCAAAACTACTGATTGTCGATTATATGTGACGAAGGAGAACTCCCACTCATATACATAGAGAAGAAGCTTGCGAGGCATCCTTGAGTTCCACCGGCAAAGTAGGTCTCAGCCCTGTTACTGAATGACTGACAGTAGATAATAAGTGATTCTCATTGGATTTTTTCCTGACGAGGTAGAGCTTAATACGTCCAGAAATATGTGCTACATGATTCATAACGTCGTTAAGAAGTTGCTTCAGAAATAGTGCAGTATGTCTCCATGTCAAAGAAAAAAGTATTCCTAATCGCTTGGGAAAAGCCACGTAACTTGAGCTCTTCGATAAGGAAATGGATATGAAACATGTGTGTAAAGAAAATGAACGAGAAAGAAATCCGTGGCGCAAGAGAGAGCGTTTGCGTGCGTAACCACGCAATGTAGCATTGAGACTTATTTTGCTGTAAAGCTTTGTTCTCCACCCTTACGAGGCTCGCGAGGTTTGGGCTCGCTATCATGAAGGAGGGATGGATGTCTTGAAGATTCCTTGGGAGGGAGATTCGACCGTGGTCATTGTGCGCTGCTAGCTGTCCATTTTACGGCGGAAAACCTTGATTGTTGTAAGAATGTATCTATTGATTCGGAAGCTACCATCCCAATATTAAGCACCCGAACAAAATGCTCTACAGTGTAGAGCTTGCTGTAGTTCAATCTGCTCAATGGATGCAACTGTCCACTGGTGTCGTCTCGTTCGCTGTTAACACGAATAGGACCCAAAACAAGGTTCTCGTATTTCAAACTCCCATCATTGGCTTGTTGGCAGTGCTCATCGGGACAGACTGTTGAAGTGTATATTATTGCGTGTCTATAAGGTGTAGGCAGGTTGGGTTTCAAAGTTGCCTGGCCTGAGTACGTTTGTATAGGACTAGAGTCTTCTATGAGCGAGTACACTTATTGAAACATTGTTGATTTACACATACTAGCAAACAGAATTTCCATAGCCCTTTATGATCACAACAAATCGTCGGATCTCACTGTAAGCTTGTCCTCCAAGAAAAGTGGTGCTAAAGTGGGAGCCGTTCCGTGATTCTCCGACTTGAGGACGTGCTGGCTCTGTCCATAGCACCATGAATACACGACCCACTTTCCAGAACTCATCTTGAGCAAGACCTCCATTAACTTCGTACCCTAAAAGATGTTATCACATAATGTTGTCTTGAAAGAGCAGAGGAAACTAACTCGAATCTAACGTCTCTATATCGCCACTGTTAGGAGCCTTGAAAATATGTTTAAGGTTTCCCAATGTGAACTGATCGTCAAGTGCGCCTATATTCTCGTCAGTTGAAGGTTCTTTGCAACTTAAACTCAGAATCATACCTTTTGGAGGGGCTATCCGTTTTGATTCCTCGGATAATGCCGAATATTTGGATGGTGCCCATGACGTGTTGCTAGAAATCAGAGTTTCATTGGTAGAGGAATATCGAGACGGCCATGATACATTGAAAGAATCTTTGTTTGACAAACTGGTATTTAAACTATAATCTCGCCCCGAAGTCTTGTAATCCTCATTAGATAGGGCTGGAGAAAATAATGATGACTTTGGAGTTGCTCCATGATCATTACCATCAACGCTATCGATCCGCGAAGTCGTGTAGGCACGATCAGCGAGCTCAATTTGTGGGAAATACGTTGATTGCTGATTCGAAGTAATCGGGCCTGGAACTCTCAGTGCAGCTGATTGATTCTCGGGTTTAGGAGACCTGTATTCATATTCCAGAGCTCCAGTGGGATCGGTCCGGTATGTAAACAAGTACCCTCGATCATCCCAAGCCCATTCGGACCATTCGGTGCTAAGGTCTGTGCCCTTTCCTTTGTTTGTAGATGGATTCGTATCTAGTGGCGAATGTCGCGGTGTTGTCAATGACGTAGGCTGGACTGTAAATTCATTTAATTTGAGATCCCCGCCACGTCGGTCTCCTGGTATTTGGGCGAAAACTTCCTGCCATAGCATTGTATTGTCTTTGAAAGGAACATCTGCCGATATCTCACATGTTTCAACAAATGGCAATGGCTCGATCTCATCGACGACCTCAGTATCGAAGATGTCAAATACATCACTCTTGGACTGTCGATATCCCGTGATGGGTACAGAATTGCTGTAATCCAAATCATCACGGCTTGGAAGAGCCATAATAGCACATTGTCTGAGATGGCTAGCAACGTGTCTTTGTAGATTCTCGACTGCTTTGCTTGTGACAAATCTTGAATCTCTCGTCTTTATATTGGCTCGCTCGTTGATCATATGTGTATCTAAATTTACGGACATACCATGATCAGATTTTACCAAATCCTCTGGCGTGGCTCCACAAAAGGGGCAAATACTAAATGCCGCTAAAGAAGGTCTTTTGCTGGCGTCTGTTAAAGTTTGAAGTTGGTGGCTTTCAAAAGTCTCGGAGTGGTGCTTCTTCAGGTGGTCTTTGAAACCATTTTCTTCTGAGAATATAGCCATGGGGTGGCCTTCAAAATTGCAACACCATTGATGAGCGTGTTCCCACTGTTCGTGTTTTAGCCATGTGTCCTGGCTATCATATAAAATATCTTGGGTCGAGCACCCTTTGAAAATGCAAATGTAAGGTTGTAAGTCCTTCCAAACGTGCTTTCTATCAGAAATTAGTCCTATAACTCACATTGGACCTGGGGTAAACAAAAAAAGGTTCTGGTTTCCAGGTTGTTGTGTCAGAAAACAGCCTTGCTTTGACACGGCACAACTGGCACGAGCCATTCTCAGATATGGAAATTTTTGCGCCAGTCACCCATCGGTAAAATGCTGTCCACTGAGACCGGCTTCCTGCAAACTGAGATTGACTCCAAGATGACCGGACTAACTTCATTTCCTCAATTAATTCGGAAATAAAACAAATTGATCTTTGAAAGCCACACTCATGGCTTATGATTGGACAGGTAATTGTATGAACGGAATGTAGCTAAAGAGAAAACCATATTTCACACGGGTGTTATAATAAGTAATGAGCCAGGGAACAAAACTCACCTCCATGCATTTGATTTCCCCATATTTACCGGAAGAATCATGTAGCCTGTGGTATAGTTTTGAGTAGAATTCTTGAAATCGAGGAAGCGATAATTGACTTACAATAGGGGCATTGGAACCCCTTGCCAAATTCATTCTCTGGTGCTTCTGGAATGCTAACATCACTTATTTGATATCCACTATATGTCGTTGAGCTGGAAGTCATAGAGCTACTATCAGATATGTCTTCAAATTTCTGACCATGTTCAGACGCGGTTGTCTCGGAAAAGATTGTGGCGATGGTGGAGCTTGCGAATGATTTCAGAATTGATGCCGGAATTTCTGAGCTTTTGGCTTTCAAAGTGCTTGGAGATTCTGTAGCTCCAATATGCTGCGGAGACTCTTCATTCTGCTCCTCCTCTGTGGCATCCTTCTCAATACTGACAAATTTACGACGATGCCTTTGATCATACATGAATTGTCTCCTTCTCCTAGAATTAGCTTTTCCGATTCGAATCGCAAGATCTTCATCATCCTTCTCCAGCCCCATTTCGCTCGTGACATTTTTCCAGGCTCGCATCTGATGCTTGGCCCGTACTATTGCGTATGCTTCAAATTCTGCAGTCAAATCTCTGCCTTCCTCATCTTTTTCTACAAAATTTTCTGCTTTCGTGGAGCGATTCTGGAGCTGTGGACTTCTAATGATCACTGATAGCTTGTACAATCGATCTATCACATCAACAATCAAAAGATAACACTGTTGAACTTCTGGTAATGGGGACGAAGGTTGCTCGGATCCATTTGAATCGTCAGAAAAATCGCTCTCGTCGTCGTTATGGTAATTCTCTTCAGGGAAAGTTGCTTGAGACACCTCTTCTTCAGTGATGAGTTTAACTGCTGATCTGGAGTTAGGCATACTATCATAAATTTAAAACAGCAATGAGATCAAGCTCAAACCATCTGATAAAGTAGTATAAAGAGTCTCTAGGAGTTTAACAACATTATCGGCGAGGAAGGTGACGTCTCTAAGCCGGAAATCAAGCGAGCTCCGATCAATTTTTAAAGCTTTAGTATTACTTATCCAAGCCCGGAGTCTTCCATTCTGATCTTCAATGGCCTGTAGTGGAATGAGCTCGGATGGAGGGTTAGACTGTTTGATAGAGGACCGCAAGTGTTCAAATGCTTTTAAGCAATGTGAAGAACCATTGTGAATCCTATACTCTAAGAATGTAATTAGAATTTTGAAAGGTAAGTATCATATTCCAAACTTACCTCTGCGGTGAAGTTCATCTTCCAACATTGTCGCTTCCAGATACAAGTCAGGAAATCAAAATTACTGTGCGCTTTGTACCAGAACCTCGGAAAAGGCGACGTAGATACAATTGTGCGAGATATGACTATGCGATATCAAATCAAAGTAAAATGCACGACGTTGTGGTATCAGGCTGAGATGGGAAGCGGCGGGCAATAGTCTAACCCCTTTTGGCAACTACTATATCATCTACGTGGCCGAGCCAATAGCACTCTGCATCTTTTCTTGTGCCTATCACACTTTTGCAGGGGTGTAACTCACAACAACATGTCACAAGATTGGAGCTGACAAGTGATTTTCCTGATAAGTCGTGTTCTCGAAAACAATTAAAGATTAAGATTTGAAGTCGTAGTTTACCAAAAGTCTAGTATATAAAGGTCATCGATGTCAGGTATCGAAGTTGCAGGGCTTGTTTTGGCGGTGCTCCCGTTCTTCATCTCAGCCGCAGAACATTACAATGACGGTCTCGATCCTATCAGACGGTTTATCCGGGCACCTTATGAGATTCAAAAGATTGCCCTGGCGTTAAACGACCAGCAAACTAGTCTCCGATTGATTTTGATTCCGTTGTTCGCAAAACTACCATCGCTCAACGCAGTTCAAAAGGAAGCGCTGAGCGATCCAAATGGTGATTTGAGCAGCTTATGGGGTGACAAACAGCTAGAGGAGGAGCTCGAAGTTGCTCTTGGTTCTGCTTATGTGTCCTACATGAACACTCTAAATACCATCGTAACTGCTCTTGTGGACATTATCAAGGACAAAAGCCTCAAGCTCAACTCTGCTGTAAGCTGACTATGACCATGTCACTTATCAATCCATTAATTAATGGCATGTGCAGTCAAATCAAGAGCAACTTCGAACTCTATATAAGGAGGCTTCCAATATAGACTGGAGGCAAGGCAGTTTGCAGAGACGGATAAGGTTTAGTAGAAACGAGAAGAAACGAGCTCGCCTATTGAAAGAGATCGATCAGTGTAATAAAAACCTGCGGAGAACCTGGTCCCAAGCCGACGCAGCCACACCGTTCCTTGATTCATGGAATAAAAATAACAAAGAACCATTACTTAAAGTGAAGGAATTCGCAGGCTGTCTTCACAGAGCATTGCTCAAGTGTTGGCAATGCCAATGTTGCGCCGCCCATGATACACTTCTTCGAATCGAAAACAGGCAGACGCGAATGATTAAAAAGGCAAAAGACACAGTTCGATTCGACCTATTGTTTGTGTCAAACGATGCAACAAGTGCTGCAGGCGATTCTTCGGCATGGAAACAAATGCAAGTTGTGGTGGTTCCAAAGAGGTTAGTATGTGTTCCTGCGTCAAGAACAATCGCTAATGAAAAAGTGAACCATCTTTACAAAATACACGACCCTCCGCGATACTTTGGAGTCCCCTAGACCCCAATACTGGACCCATCTTACCTAATGTATCAGGGCCTCCCGCCAGTGGAAGTTCTTCTGCTATGATGACAAGTACACCAAGAGGTCCAGCATCAAGCTTTAACTTGAATTCAAGTGAGGAGATCGATTATCAGAATCTGAAAGCCATCAATACTATTTGCGAGGTTTCAAACAGCCCACAAAGCATCCATGAATGTTTCGGATTCGTAGTAGATGAAGCGCGAAAACTCAAAGGCACGTTTGAAGTTCCAAGATGGCACAAGTCCTTCCCATCCAGAATTCTTAACCTCGGCGACCTACTCAAAAGAATCTCTGGACCTACTTTATCCGTCGTCCCTACAAGTAGCACGACACTCTTCAAACTTGAGAGAATCACATTAGCTGTGAACTTGGCCTCATCACTACTTCAGCTCCATGCCACTCCTTGGTTCAATGAGCGATGGAACAAAAGCGAGATCCTGTTCTTGTCTGACAAAAGCAATCCAAGCATGCGTCCTGTGGATATAGAACGTCCGCTACTTGCCCATAAGTTCTTTTCCAGCGGTATTACCAGCCCTACTCCACGGAATTCGCTTCCCGCTCCCACCCACCCAAACATTAGTGTCTTATGCCTCGGAATAATGCTCCTAGAACTCTGGTTTGCAGAACCTATCGAATCTCGTCGATTCTCCAGCGATCTGGTTAACGGTGTTCCAAATTCAAGCACCGATCTTATTGTGGCGGAGAGATGGGTGAAAGAGAACGGAAATTTGGAAAATATGCCTGCAGGATATTTTCAAGCCGTCAGTAGTTGTGTTTTCTGTTTTTTCCAACCTATGCCTATAAATAAAAGTCTGGAAAACCCCGATTTCAGAGAGGCAATTTGGCGAAATGTCGTAGTTCCGTTGGAAAAGGAATTGCAAACTTGGAAAAATGGGGGAACTTGAGTTGAAAAGAAGCTCCGAGGCTCCTGGAGCAAGACTTCCCAGGGTACATGTGAGCGAGGTGAGATTAACAGAAGGACACGTGATTTTGATATTGGATTGAGCCGGGAATGAGCCGGAAATATAGTATAGGGAGTTTTAAAGGTTATATGGTTGGAAGACAATCTAGTGGTCAGAATTAGTAGAGAACCTCTTGCCCTGAGATTGGTTGGAAGGATTATCAGCGATATAGTTCTAGAGAGGGCTTCATAAGTAGCGGTATCTCTAGACCCTAAGAAACTCGCAGAATATTCTAGCAAAAAACATGCGATGACATTTGGCCTAAGAAAACACGCAAGCACATTCAATTTCCCATGTGACAGATCTAGATGTGTGTGTGTGTGGAATAATTTGGATTTTAAGGTTATCCGTAGAAGGCGGGAGTGGCTCAGTATCATAGATTGGTGTTAACAAGACTAGTACATAGCCCTACGACATACTCATGCTACCAGGAAGTATACAACTCCGAAGCTAGATGGGCATGCCACAAGGTGATGAACCACAAGAGGACTAACCTGCTTTTCTTGGCGGCGGAGCTGTATACTTTCTCGCAGCGCGAATAGGCTTGGTGTGAAATTGTTACCGCTAGGAAGAGCATAACAGGTATTAAACTTTCAGCTAATGTGCCCTATCGCTGTCTCCTTCCTTCCATACACGATTCGACGCTTCTACCTGCAGAAGAACCATGGGCAAGTGCTCAAACATTTACATTTGAGGTCTCGAACTCGTGAGACCCCCGACTTTTTGTCGTTATCTACAGACCGTTCATCTAGGCGCACATCATAACGATACTCAGCTCTTGTGACTCGTGAGTCCTGACCTCTTCTCCGAAGTGTGCATCAACTAGGATTTCTTAGAAGGATTTTGCAGGAGCACAGCGGAGGTTCGGTCCTAGTTTGAGGAGGTTTACTCCTGAATGATATCCAAAGCGACACGCTACGAAAATAAGGGCTGGAAGGCTCGATGAACCATATTGCGATCGATCGATGCTTTACATATCTACTACGTGTCGCCGCAAATCCTTCCCCTAAAGCACGCATTATATAAATAATCAGACATATTCTAAGATTACCAGGACCATGTTTTGGAAATAATTGTTGATCATATGCCAGGGCCAGAGAACCCTATTCGACAAAGAAAACAAAAAAACCGGGTAAGTGATCGTCATGCATACATACCAAGATCCACTACCAAGCCGAAATAAAGGGAAAACTTGTTATCTTTTTGACCTCACATGAAATGACGCCACACGTAACGGTCCATATGTGGCGGTGCGTTGTGGCCCGAGTTGTCGTCTTCCTTTGTTATCATTGGTCGAGAAGTATGAGGATTGTGTAAAGTGAAATAATGGTAAACCAAAAACCTCGCAAATGCCATGTAAATCATTTGCTGACCTCTCTTTCAATTTGTTACACTTAAATTACTAGAAAGTGGATGTCTTATAGACTATACAAACATCAAAGAAATAGATTAGATGAAGAAAGACCACCCGGAGCAAAGCTCCGGTATGTTGGGATTGTCGTTGGAAGTTGTAACTTGTATCAAAATATGGCTACGTCACATCATATTGTTTTAGATATATGTTGCTGCCATTCACTCGAGGTTTCCTCGAAATCAACCCATCTTCTCTTCTGTATTCACATTAAAGTTTGAACTGTACAGCACAGCCACTTTAATACTCTCTTGACCCTTTGATAAGTCGAACTCAAAATTGTTCCCCTCCATTATCAAGTCTACAAATACACAACACGAACATAGACCCTCAACAAACGTCAAACCTCAACAGCACATTGCAACACAACTGCAAATACAGAATGGCACCATTGATTACAATGCAAAAGTCCCCCGAAAGAGCATTTGCTCTGCAGAAATATCTGCTCCTCCACTCTCAGCATGATGCTCTCCAGAAGCACATCAACCAAGTCACTGCTTCCATCCCCGAGAGCCCCACCGGATACACCGATCGTCATCGCAACTCTTCCGTCTCTTCAGACTCCAGTACTGCTAGTGATGCATCAATCTCACCTCTCAGTCCACCTATTCCCAACATCAGCTCCCGCAGGGGCAGTCTCCCACCCTCTTTCGGCCACACGCAACATTTTCACCGCGAGGACAGGATCAATTCACTACCAGCGGTTGTAGATGAATCGATTGTTGAAGTAGTTGAGGAAGATGAGCAGAAATTGAAAGACGTGAATCAGCAAATCAAGACTGCCTTGACTGATCTACTCAACTGTGAGAGTGTGAAGAGCGATATCAGATATAGGAAATGGGTTCAAACACGATTGATGGATACGGAAAGAGAATTGAAGGAGCGCAGAACGAGAAGCTGTGAGAGGAGAAGAAGCGAAGACATGAGTCTTTGAAGAGATCATCGAGATCGAAGGATGAAATGGATGACAGGACTAGAGGAATTGATACCCCGATAGAGTGGTTGGTTTAACGGCGGTATGGTATGATTGCTCAGAATGGGTATCGAATATCTACAGGATGGAGACGGTTAAAATGGCGTTTTAGGAGGGGAGGAAGGATCTTTGGCTTTCCGGATTTTATTTGATACCCATACGCTGTTTGTCGCAGCATAATTCAATTCTATGACTTTTTATGCATATCTACATACAGGTCTTCACGAATGTGATCTATGATTTTGCAGATATTGTGTGATACTCGGTGAGGCGAAGTTTTAGTATTCTTCATGAATTCGTAAGCCATGCCCGCACACAAAAGGGAAAGGCTCCGCCTCCTCCACAGGTCATCTTTATCGTTATCTTTATCTTAAGTCAACTTTTTGTTTCCTTTTACTACCCCACCACCAACATCAACAAAAGAAAGTTTAATTATTACAGCGATGAATGTCACTCTACCAATGTCTATCGCAGTTGACTTCGTATTGATAAAGTATACGGAGAATTCCAAATGTCACCATCTGATCCGGATTCTCACCGAGTCAATAATACCTCGAGAATACCAGGTAATGCCGGATATGTCAGCGTGCAAAAACGTTAGAGTTTCAGACTTTCAGTCTCGGATGAAGCAGATTCCGTCTCAAAAGCATACATTCCAGACGAATTTGATGCAAAACCATCCCATGCTGCTATGCAATCTACTTTCTGAGTCAATAACCCCAGATTGTAGGTGAGAAGGAGGTAGGCTATGCTGTTCTCATAATAGAATATGGAACTATTGATGTCCGAGCCCTTTTATCTTTTATCTTCGGACGACGTTCATTAATAAGGGTCGCTTTCCTGAATCTATATTGTTCGTAGATTTTGGTTTTGTACGTGGATTCAATTGAAGTTTCATTGCAGAATCTATTGAGAGAATTTGGTCAGAAAGAGATTCTGAATTATACATTTCAAAGCATAGTCGGCTTTGAAGATATGGAGAAGTGCACAGAAGAGAAGATTGCGCCACAGCATAAAAGTGCGTGGTTTGGATTCATCAAGGTATGTTAAATCATCTTTCTCATATTGTTCATATCCTCGATGTTTGGTCAGTGGACAGGACATGGACAGCACAGATTTCAGCTGTGCCTTGATGGACGATATCCCGTCATGAGCTTTCCAGCGTTCAGTAGGAATAGCATCACTGCACAGATTTACCCTTGAGATAATTATATAAATGCATACTGACAATTCGTTCAATAGTCGATAGCAACATTCAAAGGCGATCTTTCAACGCTCACAGCGCCTCCATTTCTTCTCTCTCCACAATCCATCGTCGAATTTCCTACCTACTGGGCAGAACACCCATCTCTGTTCATCGCACCCACAAAATCAGAGTCTGCTGAAGAAAGAGCAGTATTAGTATTAAGATGGTTTATCAGTACATTGAAGTGGCAGCATAGTAATCGAGATGAGAATGGAAAGAAGAAGGGGATGAAACCCCTCAATCCATTTTTGGGAGAGTGTTTTATGGGTTCTTGGGAAGATGATGGGGAGGGTACGGGAAGAACGGATTTGGTTGCTGAGCAAGTTAGGTAAGTCTTAACTAATTTGAGAAGAGAAATGGGAAATCAATACTAACGATTGACAGTCATCATCCACCAGCTACAGCATATAATATTTCGAATGAAAAACATGGTGTACAAGTAAATATTCCTGTTTCTTATTAATTTCCTTGTGTCTCATACTAATACTCTCACTCCAGCTCCAAGGCACCATCGCTCCACAATCCTACTTTAGCTCAACGGTACACATAGAACGAAACGGCTACTCTCTTCTAACCCTCTCTCAACACGATGAAACACACTTAATTACTATGCCGCCTGTACATATAGTCGGCATCATGTCTGGTTCCCTTAATCCCGAATTGAGCGGCACTTCCTATATCCGCTCCTCATCCGGGTTCACAACTCGAATATCTTATTCCTCGAAAGGCTGGATCAGTGGAACACCTAATGCATTCTCCGCAATCATATATAAAGATGGACGTGAGAGTACTCCAATATATAAAGCCGAAGGACAATGGAGTGGGGAATTCAACATCAAAGACATGAGAAGTGGAAAACGCATATTGCAATTCAATGCGAATTCGTTGAAGAGGAAATCGCTGAAACTCAGGCCGATCGATCAGCAAAAGGAGTACGAATCGAGAAGAGCCTGGCGTCATGTTACACGAGCTATTAATGAAAATGATATTTTTCAAATTGGGAAAGAGAAAGGGAAGATAGAGAATGAACAGAGAGACTTGAGAAGGAAGGAAAAGGCCAAGGGGATAGCGTGGGAAAGGAGATTCTTTGTCAAGAGGGGGAGGGATGAAGTTGCGGAACGATTAGCGAAAGGTTTAGAGGGATTGAGTTTAGAGAGTGGAGGTGGGATATGGAAATGGGATAAGGAGAGGTATAGGGCTATGGAGAGTGGGGATACGGAAAGGATAAGAAGAACGGATGATATGAAAAATCCGTTGGTGACAAGATGGGAATCAGGGGTTATGGTTACGGAAGTTAGCGTTTGAATATTGGGTTGGGTAGAATTATATGATGTAAATAGTAACGACTACTAGGTAATGAACAAACTAGATCTACTTTTCAGAAAATGCTTCCATAGTAACCTCGCCCAAAAATGATGTAATGAGAATACCACAACGAGAGATGGTACTACTGGTAGTCGTTTTGTCTCAAATGGATTTTCTTGTTGGAAATCATTCCAATGACTACCTGACAGGATGGTATTAATCACTCAAACATATCCTCCAACGTGCTGAGAATTTGCTTCCAAGAAACAGCAGATCTTATGATCATTAATTAAGAAAAATGTCACTCCGACCAAGCTTTCACAACCCCGCCACCAAGCTTTCTAGAATCCACAATCGTAAGTATAAAATACGTACTAAGATCCACCACATACATACTAGACGCAACCAGCTGATTCGCATGATGCTACAAATCCTGTCTATTTCGGGTATTCAGCCTTGCTTGCAACGGGCGCTTGGGGCTAGCTAGTCTGAGACCCCTCTTTATGATCTGGTAAAAGTTGCCAAGGCATGGATCATGTAGACAGGGATTCATTCCGAGGGAAAAAATGATGATGATGTCATACCCCGCAATGTATTGATGGAATGATATGATACATCATCCCTCCTTTGAGATCTATCATGACTACTAGGTATTTTATATGGGGTGATTGAAATGGCAGTATCTGGTGAATTCTTCAACAAGGGGAATCAAAATGAGTCTATCTGATTGATAGTGGCTCGATTGAATTGAAGCTTGGCTTGATTTGGGCAAAGAGACTGCTACGGATCATGCAGCCCTGACTGACTCTTTTCTACGGAGTAGAAGTGGGAAAGATTGATTGGCCACTGGTGATCTAAGCCATCTCAACTTTATTATCGAAAGGACTCCTTGCTCTATGGCAGGATAATGAATCTCTACATGTTAATCTACCGTGTGTGAGTATTTTTTTGGATGCGAGCTGATTGGCCTTCAAATTGGATATCCCTATCCCTGCTAGGCCCGGTGATCAAAGCTTTTGTTCCTGATTAGAACTTCTAGGTGTATTTGTGTTTGTCAGGTGACTTCACAAAGAGCATGAGCATGAGCATGAGCATGAGCACAGACCAGCACTCAGTACAACATAAAACTCTCCCAAGCCTCTCCAAGGAATGTACCAATCAACATCTGGCTTGCATTCAGTTCAATCATGGCTTCTCCTAACAATATGCAGTCAATAGCCTTGAATACCTCGGAAAAAGAGCACTCCAGAAACAGCACCTCAGATACCGACGACGGCGACGAGATGCCTGCCATTACCAATGCCGTGTATATTGCCGAACTCAAGCAGCGAATTGTCGATCTCGAGTAGCAAAATATCAATCGCGAGCAACAACATTGCAACCAGATGTATTTGGCACTTTTTTGGGTTTCTTTGCGTTGTCGATGTTTTACATCCTTTATGCAAAGACCGTGAGTACACACCCTCTTGAGAGTATCAGAAAATTTGAACATTCTAACGTATCATGTTTTTCGATTTGCCAGTAATCCTTCAACCCAATTCGATTAGCGGTTCGTGCTTTGCATACATGCACAATGATACGACATTACGACATTACGACATTACGACATTCACGATACAATACGACGGTTTAGGATACGATGTATGAACAGCAATGGGTCTATGGGGGACGGAGAGTTTGCTCTTTTGGATACCCAGATATGGAGTTATGGTTGGCGCAAGGTGATTTTTTTATACCTTTTTCAACACTTGTGATCTGAAGTCATGAGTGGTTGGTGAGGTTTCCTTGACATCCACAGGTCAATATAGATGTCAGGGGTCTTTGGGGTTTAAAAGACACACAAAGGCCATCGACCTTAAGATTGCCCATAGCTTACCAAATCCACACACATGCACACTACCTAGGTAGCCACACTGCGATTTTCTTTCTCTGAACTTGTTGTGATCTGCCACAAACTGAGAATGTAAGCACTGGGTGGCTTGCTAACAGTCACCAAGCCTGGTAATTTCAATAACCTGAAACACCACACTTAGATATAGGGCTATTGAGGAATAGCAGCTGACTTGGCTCTTCAACATCACTGCTTATCTATTCAAATCAGCAGCCATCATAGAAACTGGAAACCAGTGCTTTCCATGCTAGAAATCGATTCTACGAGGCCTGGCAGAGATACCAGGCGCGGGTGTGAATTTAGACGCCCCATGTTGTGCAAGTGAAAGTTTCTATTTTTGGTCGCGGGGTCTTGAAACGCGAGAAGCCCTTGACTAACGCAATGCGTTACAAGTACCCCGATTTATGATTATGCAAACCCGGATTTGACTCCCAATATTTCTTTATTGATATTTCAATATCGTTTCTAATAATTGCATCATATCAACTTCCACTCTTATGTAATTTCTTGTCACTTTCCGGTGAATGATTTGTAGCACGATTCAAGTTTTGGCTAGGAAAGTTCCTTATCCAGTATTTGGGGACATGACGTCATAACTCTGCATCACAAGTTACAATTTGGATAAATAAGCTCACAGAACCTCCCTTCAGTTACCATTATCATCAACAAGCAATCCAACCAACCCACAACTTTACAACTTCATAAATAAACTCACGAACAACCCGATAAACCAGCGAACAAGCAAACAGTCAATCAAATTAATACCTCATCGCAAAAATGTCTGACAAAAACACCTCAACTCTCCAATCATACATTGATTCTGCTTCTGGCGCAGCTCAATCGGCGCTTGGTTCTATCACCGGTAACCCTGCTGATAAGGTATGTTTTCTCTCTCGTCTTCTTTTCTTTTCTCTCCCTTGCCTTACCTTCCATATCTCCCCTTCCCCAAAAAACACAATAAACACCCATGCTAACCTCACGCCCAGCACGCCGCCGCCCAAAAACACGACGAAGCAGCCCTCAAACACGACGCCTCGCACGCGGGTTTCTCCGCCGGTGGCGTCAGCGCCTCTTCCTCTGGCGCCGTTACCAAAAACGATCCTGCGCGCCAAGAAGGATCCTGGAACCAGACCATCGGATCAGGCAAGGAATTCGTGGGGGGAATCCTCGGCAGCGAGGAGATGAAGAAAGATGGGCGCGAACAGAATGCTGCGGGCAGGGGCCAGGAAGCCCAGGGACAATTGAATGATTTGGGGAGTGGGGTCAAGAATAGAGTGCAGGGCAGTGTTGGGGGGGCGGTGGCCGGAGTCATGGGAGATAGGGAGAAGGAGGAGCTGAGGAGGGAACAGCATGATGTGGGCAAGACGCAGCAGAGGGGGGTGGAGAGTGAGTTGGAGAGACAGAGTAAGTAGCTTTGTGGGGTGGGGAGAGATGGGAGGTTAGATTGATACCCTGTGAGATGGATAGATGGATGATGCATGCATGCACGCATGGCTTAGGATCGGTACTAGGTCTTGGGATCAGGAATCACGCGGCCGTCTGGACGGATCGATGTATTATGAAGGAATGAATAAATGAATGAAATAGCGTGGTTTTTTTCAAATTTTCGTGATAGTAAATCATCGAGCACATCTCTGTTTTGTTGTGTGTGCATGGTGTTAGGAATTCCAATCACACACCGGTTATGTCCGTCAGTTTGCCAATTTGTCAGTCAGCCCTGTTGACAACCCAAGGAAATCAAACTTTTACATATGATGAATCATATATATATCACCAATTCTATCCATTCATCTCAGCTCCAAATTTCCTTCTCTACCCCTTCAATCCCTATCATACAACAATACAATCGCGCGATTTTATTGCCCACATTCCTCCCGCATGCGATCAACGACGGTAAAAGTCTTCTCACTCACTCACTCACTCACTCAAACAACAACAACATATTAACGCGAAAGACATTTTCGTTTTCTGTCACTCAAATGAACAAATCAGTCAGTCATTAGAATACTCTGTACATACATCTAGGCATCTAAATATGTAGTAGACATCAAATTTCGTGTTCATTCTACCATCTCTTCACTCACTGAGAAGATTGAACATAAACGCTTATCATAGAATGTAATCCCCAGAGCAATGTCATCACATACAAATGACGGAATGGGTAAAATACGTTGTAGATGGATATGTTGTTACACAGGTACTAAAGGATATTGATCCATACCGGAGAAAATGACGAGAGACCAGCGAGCTAACGTGACTCTCCCACTTGATTCATACATTCTCGTCACAGTTGCTATCGCTCTCTCAATCCTGGAGATAATCTTACTTGTATTTGTAAAATTCCAATAGCACAAGCCCTCACCGTCCCAGAGAAATCCACCTCACACAACACAAAATACAAAATATCGGCTCACCCATTCTTCGCACCTACCTAGGAACCATACAATTGCACAACATAGTCGCGTACACATTATCAAGATATGCCAACCACACTGCAAACTACCTACCTGTCAATGTTGAACGGGACGAGAATCCAGAATACTGACATCTCAAGAAGTGACCAAAACACGCAAATACACTTCAACCTACCTTGCGCCACAATGCAAGATACCTATCTATTTAGCCCACACACCCATTTCCATTAGATATCCAACATAGAAGAATGCAAAAAGTTCATCACTCATGACTACACGAGTGGCTACATCTTTACCAAGGCTGACTACCTGGCTGCTAATACGGTTTCTTCTACTAGAGGATCCATGGTTGGCCGCGGTGGGGTACCAGCCCCGAAGATATCCGCCCTTAGCTATTTTTTTATTTTTTTATTACTATTCTTTATAAATTATAATTTACCTTATAATTTATTGGGTCGAATTTGGTGTTGATTTTGGCGATATTGCATAGGATTATGCGTTTCCTCTTTCATTTCGTTCGGTTTCGGATGTTGAGGATTGGCGCTTGTGTTCGTCTTTTTCTTTTGTCGAAAGTCGAGTCGAGTCGCATACCGTTAAGGCATGGAGGCGTTTTTGAGTGCCGTCGTTATGGCGAGATTCATTGCGTTGTCGCAGTATATTTGCGAGAGCGAAGTAGTGAATGTATGGTTGTTGTGGTGTGTCATTGACAAATGAGCTAGCAGGCCAGTCAGCCGATAAGTTCGGCTGAGAGAAGGATTGAAGTGAGGTAGATGTTGGAGAGGCAATCGATCCACTTGCACCCATACAGTCTCCGGTGAAGTAGATTCATGTATCTAATAGCTTTCCTTTGAGGGTGTTTGTAGTATCTGTTGGTAAGGCTCCTCTGAATTTTTATAGGACAGCTGTGGAGGAGATTGATATGATGACTTCACTATGCCAAAATTCTCAGCACCCATGGCAACTCGAGTCTTGTTTCTGCATCTCAGCGTGTTGAGCCCGATTTACCGGTGGCTGTTGTATGTAACAGGCTTGAGTTCACCAAGTCGCCATCGTGAACGATAGTCTGGACTGAATGTGCAGATTATCAGTCACATAACTCGAACCAGGCAACTTTTGGTGTTACATGGAGAGCACATCTCGCCACAACTTGGTATCAAAATACATTCAAGTCAATGACGAGTCTTGTTCTGACACAAGATATGATGCTGTTTGTGTTACGCCTTTCGCTTACGAGCCGAGCCGTATATCACGGAAACCTATCATCCATGACGGTGTTTACTCAGACTTGTAAATCCCTTCTTTTGTATGGCTGAGAGTGATGAAGATACACAAATGATTACGGATCTGAACTTCAAGCTTCACGCTTCACTGCTCCTCACAAGGCTTATTTCACGTTGCTGATGCGGAGGTCCGTGTATAAGGGTAAGATCAAGCTGCGCTTGTGGGGTTAGTTGTGTCTTCGAAATGCGGAAGAGGCTTATGCCGGAAACGTGGCATCTGAGCAGTGACTGCGACGAGCTTCATCTAAACGCTCGGGTAAATACTGACCCGGTCGAGAATTGATACGACATCCCCTCTCTGTCATACTATCCAGCCTCGGCGCTGATTGGTGATTGGTGTACTTTCAAGTGAAAGCATATTGTGACGATTTGTTACAATAGTGACGATTACCAGATCATGTATCAGAGGCTGGGCAGTGTTGGTCACAGCCTCATTCATGAGGCCCAGGCATATATAGACTTAAACTTTGGTGACTCCTGGATGATTCGAAACAGTCCATACCAAAACTTAGGAAATGATTTGTTCTTCAACTTAAGAATCACAACGTTTTGGAGAGTTAAATCCCCAACCAGTGGGAGCTGAATGTCCGGTTATTTGATTCTGTATACCCAATGGCTGAGCGAAGAGGGGGCGCATTTCATAACTCAGAGTAGGATGCAAAGCAACGCCACTGTGCGTTCTCCCTAAGAAGGGGACAAGGCCCGGCTAGAACATTACCGGTAGTGATCATTAGATGAGTGGCAATGATTATCGTCCAACCTAAGGGGTTTTAAGCACAAAATAGCCATGCAGTTGATACCAGCTAGGCATCTCCTGTGGGATTCGCGATTGATTGACTTGATACTACAGAGGCCTCACTCGGTGTTTCCAAATATAGAAATGATATCCTGTCTGCGTGCAGGTACAATTCTCCTGTGTGCCTGACATTTTCGTATTGCAAATTCCATGCGGTTTGGAATGATTTGTTACATGGTCTTGTCAACTTTCTGGAAACTTATAATATAAGTCCAAAATTCAGAGCCTCAAACATTTCTCGGATGACATCTCGGTAACACGGCGCATGCGTCCTGCAGATCGGTCGCTTCCAATTCCTATCTCCGGGATGAGGTTGTTTTTGTGTGAAGAAACTCATCTTCGATCCCACCTCAATTCAAAAGCAACATTTTCCGAGAGAGGGTAAGAGTCGCAAATTATTCCTAATCTGACATCGCCACAATTCGGGATTCAAAATCTGGCTGCTATTCTGATTCGGAGCAGCCGGGAGGGCGCTTTGCAGAATGACTTATTGTGGAGGGGGTGATAGAAAGAGCAGAAGAAACTGCATATATGGATTAAGTGAAAGTATGTGTTACAGCGAATGACATGTCACACCGTACTGATAGGTAGTAATACCGATGGCCAAGAAACGTCTGCCTTATTTTGGGAATATTTTAGGTAGTACTCGTGCAATCTACCTCCCTTCTTGAAATAAGCAGGTCTCATCTTTTGGCTTGATGTATGTAGGTATATTTGAATTTCGAATCTTGAAGTTTCTCGGAAATGTTGTATGGCTTTAGGACCACATGGTCGGGAAATGATGCCATTGCATGCAATGACCCGCATCCGTGTAATCAATTGAGTGCATGGACAATTGTATAAGGTCGTGTAAGGTCTGATGGACTGATTTCTCAAAACCCAAGAGAATCCAAGTGAATCTAGATGCTAGAACTGTTGATTCAAAACCTCGTGTTTTGATAATGAGTCGTATGAGTAGAATGATTTCTTACTGCTGATGGGGGTTCCAGGTGATACAAAATTTAGGATACCGAATTATCAAAAGGGAAGAGGCTATTTTTGAAAATAATCTGCGATAATGTGATGAGGGGGGAAGATTGGATGGGAAGGTCAAAAACTTGCTTTTTCTTTGACAACACGCGAGGATATCGATAAGAGTGAACTTGATTTGCCAAGACCAGTCATGTCGGATCACATGAGACGATGGAAAGAAACAATCTTCACTCCAAAGAGGTACCTGCCTAGGTAGGTCCGATGGATTGTGTGGCTTTTATGTATGTATCCCGATTAAGTAATTCCTCATCTTCCATCATTCTCCTAATTGGTCAAGTATATCCTTTGAATGGGTTAGTAAGCATGTGAAAAATGACGTCGATCCTTGTTTTTCCCATAATATTTCGTCATAGTTGGACATCAATACGGTAACACTGCCTAAAATAGGAAAAAAGGTTCATAAATTTTCGTTGAAGCACAACATGTTGTCTCCCTTTATGGTAGCAGAGTATGTAAATGCCTAGGCACTTGATGAAACTGGATGATTACTCATCTTGGTCACCACTTTCTGGGTAGGTAGATGGCATTCTTCGAGTACAACCAACACACACATACCTATTCATCATCCACATAACCCCATAATCCAAGTCCTTCGTGATGACAACAATAAACTGGTCACGGAATCTACCGAGTACCGAGTGGATGTGACCAAAAGATTTCTTGAGATTTAGCTGAAACATTCCTAAGGATGTCCCTTAAAGGTTCTTGATAAGGTTCTTCTATTGAACTTAGCATGCTCGTATCACGATGAATTCAGATTGGTTCGGGGTCTAGAACAATCCCTGGCTCCTTGCTACCCGGATTACTACTACGGACGCACTTACCAGATATATCAAAGTACCGGGTAATGATTAATCAAAATACCACTTGAAACAGCTGGTCACCGTCCATTCCAACACTTCACTCCCGCGTGTTCTCATGATGGATACATACAAAGACTCAATATGCTGTGACCAACAAGAGTGAAAAAAGGCTTAGGAGAGAAGGACCCTACATGCTACATGCTACATTGACCTAGAGATACCAACCGCATCATGCAATTTAATAATAGAATGGGGGTTGGAAAAGAAATACTGCAGCCCCACTATCACCCACCAAATTCATTCATCCATCCATCCATCCATCCATCTATCCATCCTGACATCCACTTTCAGGAATGAAAGATCCGGAACATCTTGTTCAACTTCCCTTCTTTCGTGACATTGATCTCTTCAGGGTATGGGCATCATTTTCTTGTACCCCTCTCCGCAACTCCTTTTAGAAAGAAAGGAAGGAGGAAAGAAGAGAAGAGAGAGGAAAGAGAAGGGAACGGAAGGGAAGGGAAGGGAAGGGAGAGAAGACAGTAGAAGAATAGGAGGGGGGGAAAACAAGAGAATAGTCCACCAAGTCGAAAGATGTTGGTGAATCATCCGACAGATATTGGAACTAATATTCAATATCCTAATGGAATCCTCCGTGCTCCAAAGTCAATGTCTGAACACTCCGAAGCTAGATAGGTAGATAGATAGATGATTACTTCCAGTCTGCCTGTCGCAGGTAGTAACTGGTTCATCCTTTTTCTCCCTTATTTGACTGGTTGGCTTGGTCAGTCTGGTCAGGTCTGGTCAGGTCTAATCACACATTCACTATCCGGACATCAACGCATCTGTACAACAACATAGACAGATGGTGATTCTTCGGACCTCGAAAGATACACACACACACACACACACACACATATATATATATACCTACCCAATCTCTCTCATGTATGAATATCTGACTACCCGGCATGTATGATTTGTTAAATTCCAAGATTTGTACCGATACCCAACCAATATCAAGGATTCCAAGCCTTTGCAACAATAAATACAACATTGGGCTTTGTTGTGGGGATTAGATTTTCCGAGGGACCATTTTCCCACATCCATCAACATATTCACCTCACGACTAACATTCACCCATCCACTCACATTCGAGAAACACCTTTTCTATACACACAAAGTACTCTTCTTACCATCCACATTCATGTCTTTGAAGTGAGAAAGAATTACCAATGACCAATTAAATCGACCTCCCTACCTACAGACCTTGAATTCTCTCATATCCCCACTTCGAGCAAGATTTAGACGAAGGAAAGAGATTCCATTCTACCCGTCTTCTATTTCATTCAACCCTGCCTTGACCTTCCACCCCACCATCGCGATCTGAAGCAAGTAAACCCACTCACTCACTGAACAACTTTACAACAAAAAAATTGCTACACACCATTTCATGATCTGTTGAGCGACAACTTTTGTCGTTCGCACATTAAATTAATCCTCACAATGTCCTCTTCTACTTCTACTCCTGCACCAACACCAGCGCCAAAGACGGTACCAGTCGCACCTAAACCCGAACCGGTCAGAGAAAAATCGCCAGTTCCTGTTATCCCACCACCCAAGGAAGTCGTCGTTGAGGAACAAGATGATGAAAGGGTAAACATTTCCTCGCGCATTGCCTGACAACAAGTTTATTAATTTCATTAGAGTGAAACTGACTTCAGCGCAAAACAGAGTGACGATGGGTCCGTTGGTCTACCAGATCTCGGAGAGAATATCGATTCGGCCACATTCGAACAAATTCTAGAGATGGACGATGATGAAGAAGAGCGGGAATTCAGCAGTTCTATCGTTTTTGGATTCTTTGAACAGGCTGAGCAGACTTTTGTCAAGATGGATGATGCACTGTAAGTGGGGCTCGTATATTTGTGTCGGTCGACTTGTATAATATATTCAGGAAGATGAGCATCTGCGGACGCAGATATGAATGCAAGTACTAACAATTTGTAGCAAGGAGAAAGATCTAGCAACGCTTTCGTCGCTCGGTCATTTCTTGAAGGGCTCCTCAGCAACGCTGGGATTGACAAAAGTCAAGGACAGTTGTGAGAAGATTCAACACTATGGGCAGCAGAAAGATGAAGCTGGTACAACAGATGAACCCGACAAGGAGAAATGTTTGGCGAGAATCAAGGAGACATTAGTTTCGGTGAAGGAGGAGTACAAAGAGGTTGAGAAGGTCTTGAAGAAGTTTTATGCCACTTGAAGGACGGCCGCATGCACACATACCCCCTCAAAAGACCCCCGATGATGGAAGATTGTTCTCGTGCTTGAGGATATCTGATGTGGCAGAAGTAACCAAAAGTATTGCCTATCTGGGCTCTTGTGACGACATTGAAGTTCACGCACGAGCAGTATACTTCTCTTACAAAACAAAGCTCCCCATAGCTCAGGCGTCTCGGATTGCATTCACATACTTTATGTTGTCTGGAAATGGCATACATGGTTTTCTTATGGTGGTTTTCTCTTTTTCTTTTTATTGGTTCACATGAGGGAAATGTTTTTGTTTGTTTCTGTTGGCTTCTCCTTCCCCCCTCAAGATTATCTATGGATGACGGAAGTTGAGGAGGAATTTTAGTTAGATGAGGTGACGAGGTGATGGTTTACCAGATTTCATGTCATGGTTACTCAGCACATGAAGTCACGACAGACGCATCAAATCAGAAGGTTCAATTCTTCCGAGACCTTGGCATTTAATAATGTACATTGCATGTCAAAAGTGATTTGGAGATGCGGGGCACAAGACAAGATGTAGGAAAGAGAGGCTACCCATGTTTTCAGTCTCAAATACCTTTTTCCAAAGACAATGCTACTTGGTATTTCCTCTCTTGCACTTCCACTTATCGCAGAATCTACGGAGCACAAGTACCAAAATCTTTTTGAATGATATACCTAGCTCCGTTATTCCTCAGCACCACTCCCAATGCTATAGATTTAAATACAGATGCTTTCGATAAACACTGACATACAATGCAACTGGCCACTCAAGTAAAAGGTACCTCAATCTCAGCCTCCACCTCATACTCCTCATCCCCATCCCCCTTCTTCTTCGCCCCCATCCTACAAATCGCCACTTTCTCAACCCGTACATCGCGCATCCATGTGAAATCCGCATACTTAGTAACGATATCCCGTGCATCAAACGTGAGACGTGCTTTATGCTTGCCATGACCCGAGGAACTTCCTCCTCTCCCTCTCCCTCGATTTCCACGTGCATTCCCGGTTCCTGTTCCTCTCGTGCCGGTGCCGGAATCCTGACGTGCCCCGCGAACGTAGATTGTATTAACAATCGTAGCGTGCAGTAATAAGCTTCGTCCTTTTTCTTCGGGCAGCATGAACCCGGCGGTTGTGAAGGTGTCTTTGAGGGATTGACAGAAGGTTTGGAGATGCGAGTGCGGATCGCGGGGGGAGGTGTAGAGAATGGATGTAGACCAGGGTTGGTGCATGGGGTGGAGGGAGGTGAGTGTTATCTTGGGGAGTTGGATGTCTTTTATTTCTGTTTTGTTTTTTTCGGCACCCTCGTGTTCTTTCTTGGGAACTGCTGAAGGGGAGGAGAATATTCCTTGCAGAATGGAAATGGCACCTTGAATTCGCTCGGCGGTTTCGAGACTCATGACCCCGATGGTGAGATGGAGGGTGGAGAGGGGACGGATGGCATCTTGGGGGATGGGAACCCGATTGGGGTGTTCGTCGGTGGGGGGCGTGGTGACGTCTCTTTTGAAGGTGCGGAGGGAATGTTGGAGTTGGGGATGGGAGGAGGGGGTTGTGAGGGGGATGCAGAGGAAATGCGTTAAGCGGGGACGGGGGGGTTAGGGGGCATGGTTCTTGGGGGGTTTCTTTTTTTTTTTTTGGCGAGGTAGATGATAAGGAGAGGGGGAGGGAGAGGGGAGAGATAAGACTTTAAATTATCTTGGTTTGTCCCGTGATTAGCAAGTGTGGTGATGAGAATGGGAATGGGAATTGGAGTTAGAAGATCGGATTCCCAAGATGTTGATTATGGAGACATCTTGGGATTGGATCGATTTTGATGTGGTATTTGTATATGTGTGTGGTATACCTATTATCGCAACCCCGCAGTCTCACTCACAATCGGAATTTGGCGTCAAAAATCTTATCTTTGAATATCTACAATATTCCCTTTCTTAATGCTTTAGAAAAACAGTAGAAAGAATTTAAAACTCTCTCTTACCTTCCACCAGAATGTGTTCCAGAATATAGGTATATATTCGTGAGCTCTTGCTCGTTACATACACAATAATCCAAATCCCTATATCAATTCATCCACACCCACCACCACCCAAAACTGCAGATCTCCCGTCAACCCCTCACTCATAATCAATCTCACCTCTGATCGATCTAATCATCCATCCATCCATCCAATTCCAAACCAAACGCACACACCCGCTACCACCACCCCCAAGAAAAGAAAACCAGTCTATCCATTCCTTACACACCTAGCGCTTAACAAACAATACAGAGCAAGTACCAACTGCTATCAGCCGAAAAGCATTTTCACACCAAAAATCAACATTTTACTACATTTTTAAACATAGAAATCTCTACCAATAATAATTAAAATTTCTTGAGAATTTATATATATAGAGTTTCTATAATAATGATTAATATTTCAAAGTTTTTAGAAATTTTTGATATAGAATTTATATAATTGAATTAAAAAATCAAAAAATTCGCTTGATTTTCGTTTATTTTATTAGTAAATTTGATTGTTTTTGAAATACTCTAATTTTATATTTGTATAATTTAATATTTTTATTAAATCTTTATTGAAAATATAATAATCGATATAAGAAACTAGTTATATTATATAAATAATAAGTTTTAATATGGAAAGGCGTTTGGGCTGATAGCAGTTGACTAGTACTATGCATCTACCCAGGAAATTAATGCATCCATCCATCTATCAATCCATCCCTCATCGCATCTCATACTTCCAGGCAGCAGAATAAGAACCTCTCATCTTCCTTCATTTGCTCAATCTGAATGAATTCTCTCCACCACACGAATATTCATTTGTTTCGCTTTGCTCCGTAGGCAAGGTAGGTAGGAGGGTTCATTTCGATTCGGGATTTCCTTTTTCGATGATTTGATTTGGTTTGTTTGTTTGTTTTTATTTTTCGTGGGTTTGGTTTTTCGGAAGAGATTCTTCTTCTTCTTTCTTCATCTTCTTTTCATAAAGAGAGTATATTGTATTTTACTTTGTCGAGAATTGTTGAGAAGCAAAGGGTATTTGGGTTTGAGTTGCTCTTTGCCTATTTATTTACCTACTCACTAGGTATCTAATTCTCAATATGTCCTCTTCATCTCTATCTCATCTTTTGCGAATTTACTAGTTTTCTGTGAAGAGAGAAAGATTGAAAAATCCCACTTACGCGATACACGGAGCTACCTACCTTTACTCACCATCTCAGCTCTCATACCGGCAGGCATCCATCGAGCTACCAATCTAGATATCTGATTGAAACTGCATGCGAAATATTACGGTATTGGTATAACACTGTACCTACGCACGAGGTACACATAGTCTCATTCATCTATCCAACTATCTATATATATAAAAAGATTCCACCTTCTCCAACAACAACCCGCAAAGATGAGCGCCAGAGAAAAGAAACACGCGCCGAAATCCTCATCTTCTCAAATCGATTTTGCGCATTCGCTTGCGCATCGCGCTGCATCCTCTTCCATCTCTATCTCTGGATCTGGATCCGGATCCCGGTCTACAAACACAAAATCCCAAGGAGGAGATTACGATTCCCTCCCTTGTACTTCTACAACATCGCAATCGCAATTGCAATCTTCCTTGGCGGAAATGACCGCACCACCACACGTTCGACTCTCTCACCCTAATCCGCAATCAACCACTCATTCAGTCGCCGATCCCCATAGAAGTAACACCCCCATCTCAACCACCCATTTCCATCCACATTCACATTCTCGATCGCGCTCACGCTCCAAAACGCCCTCTCCCCCCTTCCACGAACCCTACGACGAAGAAGACTATCCCCCCCACCCCTCCACCTCCGACGAAGAATCAGAATCATCAGAAGAAGAACCACTCCCCCCAGACTCCCAAACCCACAATCTAACCACCACACTCCTCCACACGCGCGAAACCCTCCATCTTCTACAAACCGCGCATTCCACCCTCCACACCAATTACCTAGCCACTGATTCCCAGCTGCGCCTTCTCCGATCCGCGCATGCGAATTGTCCCAGTGCGGCTGAGGTGCAGAGTCGTGTGGGAGCATTAATGTTGGATCGGGATGCGTTTCGCGAAGCGTATAATGATGCGATGGGAGAGATGAGGGGGAAGGATGAGGAGATTATGGCGTTGAGAGGACAGGTGAGGGGGTTGAAGGAGTGGGTGAGTAGTAGTGGACGGGGTGGAGTAGGAGGGGAACAGGTCACGGATGAGGTGGTTGCGGAGAAGATGCAGTGGATTGGGAATGCATTGCAGAATTGGGTGATATCGAATTTCAGGAGGGGAAGAATTGGTAGGTTTGGAGCTTTATTTTGACACGGCTACGTTGGGAGAAATTTCATGAGCGTATGTTGAGCGCATGTTGAGCGGGAAAATGTGTGAATATTGTATTGTTCTTGACGATGTGGTAAAGTAACGTGCTAAATTAAGCTGACGTGTAATAGATTTAGGAAAAGCTTCAGATGAAGTACGGCAACAGTTGGAGCAATGGGTACCCATGTATCAGCATCTAGCAACATCATCTAAAATCAACTTCATACAATCACTTGTATCAAGTCTACTAGTTTTTGATATCTTCCGGGCATATTTTGTCGGTCTCCCAGAGCAACAAGCCATGGAGATCGCGAGAACGGAAATAACTTTGGGTTCTTATGGTGAGAAAAGCCATTCTGATTATTTGTCAAAGTTTTGAAGAACTGATGAAAATGTAAAGGCCCCGAAGATGCAATGAACCAATGGCGATCTACGACGCTCGGGATTTTGTTGAAAGAAGCTCCTGAAAAGCTTAAATCGGAGACCACCGCTGTTGCCAATACCGTTGTTGCGCAACTCAATAATTTGCTGGATCCAATATTCGATGTCCAAAGTACTGAAGCTAGAGATCAGTCGCTAAAAACCATAATTAATGCCGCTATTGATCTTTCACGATTACTGCGAGTTCAAAAGGCAGTCTTTAGTATAATGATGCCCATAATTGAAGAACATCAACAAACGATGTTTGACGAGGAGAGAATGGAAGACATTGGGGGAGAGGATGAAGATACCTTGAACGAGCGAGAGATTAGCTGCGTGACGTTTCCTGGAATCATGAAAGCAGGGGATGAAAATGGAGAAAGAAGCCATCTGGTGAATATTGTTGCGAAGATGAAGGTGCTTTGCGCTCCTGATTGATGGCCAAGGAAACAAGTAGCATCTTTATGACCGATTACATATGAAAAGATACCCACGGAGGAGGGTGGAGAAATAATCTCTGCTACGCCGCCATGTGACTCATGTCTTCATGCAATGGGCACGGAAAGTCTTGAGTGATAGGCCGGGCTATATCTTCAGATAATAAATCCAACAGATATATTGGAAAAGCTGTGACAATTCCAGCAAACAAACATACATACATGTGCATGTATACGTGTACCCAATATATGATCGCACATGACACCAGATACCGTGATTAGCCGTCGAAGATCGTCGTCTTCACATGCAACCAAGCAATAATTTCAACTTCCATCATAGCTCGAATCCGAAAGTGGGGTTCATTGAGGCTCTGTTGCTCACTAAGCAACCTGTATCCTTCAAAATCGTTGGTAAGTGCGGGGTTAAGGAACGAGCCATGCGAGGATAACCAATTTTCAATGTATATGCTTGGAATTTACCCACAACTTTTACATATGGCGTATGTGTATGCGCCAATGTTTTGAATTTATGATTGATGACAACTTCGATACCGAATCTGTGCTTCTTTCCGAATAGTGCTCGGGTCATCAGTTTGGCTGCTATCATTATCTTTTGAGACCCAAATCAAGAGATTGCAGCACGCACTGCAGATGTCGTATTCTGCCTCGAAAGGCAGTGCATTGGAAATAAAGCTTGGCGATAACGTATGAACTCTATGCGAGCTCATATATCGATGGTGGCAAGGAAGTCATGTCACAACAGAAACCTCTTGTATTTTGAGCAGAGGCAGAAGCTGGAAATTATGTTAGCATTAGACAGAACTCCTTAAACTCGGTTGGCTTTAATGATAGGCAAACGACTAGCGTATGAAATAGTAGTCGCTTGAATATGAGTCAAAAGCCATGCTCGGTTGACCGAGTATACATGAATGTCGAATACGAACGTTGGGAATGTGCTGCCGTAGCTCGCTTGAATTGGTTGTGGTCTGATGATCCCGCATCTCTAGAAAATAATTTTCACTCACCTCCTCATCAGCATGGTTTTCGTATGAGTTATGCCCATTTCATAGTATGAATGCGCAATCAAGAAGCGGTGTGGGGTTGCGTGGGTGAACTTGTCGATAGCTATCGTGGAACCCTTTTCAAGAACCACTAGATTTGTAGGATAGTCGGGTAGCTACACGCAACGAATGCAAGAGCAATGTGTTGCATGCCATCGCAT